CTTAAAGATGCTTTAATACATAATCCAATGGGTTAGTTAGGATTGCCAAACTTTTGGAGGGAGTGTAATTGTACAAATTGCATTATTTGAGGAACCCTAATAAGGGGGGGGGGGGGATTTGTGAATAACATATAAATAGAACCCCCGGTCACCAAATCCTGGCTACGCCACTGATAAAGCGTCTGCGTTCGCGTTTTCTTTGCTTGTGCGAAATTTGATTTCATAGTCAAATCCTGATAAATACATTGCCCATCTCTGCATGCGTTCGGCGGCTAGCGCAGGTAAACCGGTGTGAAAGAAATGATGGTCCCCCAGGGATTATGGTCCCCTTTGTTAACGGCCCTTACTGGCCCCGATTGCGTATAAGGTAATGAGGGAAAGCGTTGTATTTAGGTCACCATATAAATCAATGGAGAGTAGGACCATAATTTGATAGGACCTCCTACCCTTTTACACCGGCTTTGCTTCCAAATAAGTGTGTAAGCGGCTTATTGTCGGTCCAGAGAACAAATTTTCTTCCATATACAAATGAATAGAATCTCTTGAGGCCAAATATTATTGCTAGCGCTTCTTTTTGAATTTGCGGGTAATTCCGCTCCGCTACACTCAAGCTCCGCGATGCAAACTGAATGGGTCTCTCTTCCCCATTAGGCATAATATGTGACACAACGGCACCTAGTCCGATTGGTCCGGCATCCGTTGACAATGTGAGTGGTAAGCTTGGATCAAAGTGAACCAAAAATCCGGATGCGACAAGTTTTTCTTTCGACAATTTGAAAGCCCGATTAGCTTCATTGGTCCACACAAAATCTCGTTTCTCAAGTAATTTATTCAATGGTGCAACCAATGTAGCTAAATCTGGTATAAAGCGCCGATAATAGTTCAGTTTACCCAAATATTAGCGTAACGTGCGGCGTTGAAATTTGGAGAATCTCGTCAACTTTTTTCTCAGATTTGTGCACTCCAGTTTTATCGATTACATGTCCGAGATACTCAACAGATTTTTTCATGAATTCGCACTTTGACAATTTTGCACGGAGATTATACTCTTCGAGTCGCGATAAGACACGATCTAGATTTGACAAATGCTCGTCCTCGTTCTTACCTGTAATCAAGATGTCGTTCATGTAGACTTGTACCCCATCTTTACCTTGTAAAACGCGTTCAATGGCATTTTGCCAGATGGCAGGAGCAGTTTTGATTCCAAAAACGAGACGATTTTGCATAAACAACCCTTTGTGCGTTGCAATTGTCAACAATTGTTTCGACTCATCACTCAATTCGATCTGATGGTGTTTTTCATTCAATTTTCATACCTAATAACAAATGTTTTGTATGCTTTACAATATACAATGGTAATATCTTGACTTGCTTGTCATACCTAACCTTGACTTTTATCTTGCCAACAGGCTTTACTGATTCACCCGTGAAACTAGAAAACTCTCTATGTGTACCCTGTAATTTCACATTTTGAAATTTATTAACATATACATCAAATGGTAAAATGGATACGGCTGAGCCTCACCATTGATGCTGGGCCTTATTACAATTGGATTACCCCCATTAATGTCATCATTGGTGTGACATTGCACTTTACACACACTATATTGATCTGAATCACTTGTTGAATCATCTTGAAGATCTTGGTTGACGTTGTTCACTTGTCGGTTTCTCTGTTTACGTCGTGAATATCTGTGTAGAGATTTCTTGTCTTTCGATTGTTTATGGTCATTTCCAGGTTTTTGCGATTTTGGTTTACGACATAGGCTTGCGATATGTCCAATAATTCCACAGTTGAAGCACTTTGTTTTTGAAAACCAACAGTCCGCCTCTTTATGGCTTTTGCGACCACATTTGCCACATTTATATCCCGGTGTGAAAGAAATTATGGTCCCCCAGGGATTATGGTCCTCCTTTTAAAGGCCCTTACTGGCCCTGATTGTGTATAAGATAATAAGGGATAGAGTTGTATTTAGGTCACCAATTAAATCAATGGAGAGTAGGACCATAATTTGATAGGACCCCCTACCCTTTTACACCGGCTTGGACATCTTATTGTCTTGAGACTTAACGAAATGAACACCTGGTGACGATGACCCATTGGACGTGGCAGTAACATCTTGTCGTATCTGCTTGGCTTCGTTATATGTCGTCTCGCGAACTAATGCACTTGACACAACCTCCGCAAATGTCATATGAGGATTTTCTCGAGTCTTTTCCATCAGTTTCAAGGCTGTGCTCTCATTGTTAATACCCGATATGAAACGATCTCGTAATTGTTCATCGAGTTTATTGGCAAATTCGCACTGGCGTGAAAGATTCTTTAGTGTTACGACATGGTCTTGAATAGATTCATCTGCTAGGCCTAATTGATCACGTTTGATAAACTTACGTCTTTCAGCTACCACTATTGGTTCTGCTTTCAAATGTTTCCTCAACGTGGTTTTAAGATGTTGATAAGACTTTGTACTGGGCAATTCTGGAGCAACTAAATCTCTTACCACTGAGTAATATTTCTTGCCCAACGAGTGTAAGAAGATTGGAACTACCTGTTTTTCAAGTGTTTGGTCAGGAACTTCTGGTGCTGGATCAAGTCCATTTGCAATCAAAAATAATTCGAATCGCTCAACATAACAGTCCCAATCTTCACTGGCATCATAGCACGTGGAAATGGCGGTAAACCTACTCGGAAATTTTGCACATTCTCAGCCCTTTCAGTTCCTTCCTCCTGTATTGGATCGGCCATATTTTATGTTCAATTGTTGCACAAATATATCCAGTGTTTTTATCTCGTCGCCAAATTTGTAGGATATGTCAATTATAGATACAAATGTCTATTAATATCCCAAAGTAAGAAATGAACACAACTTTCATATTCTGTATTCAATCTATATTTCAAGACGAGGCTGATACTAGTGACACCTATTGACAGCAATTATTGGTTGTGCAAACACAATGGAACAATCACTTAAATCAATCAAATATACAACATCAAGTATTAAGCAACGGTGTTAATTAAACTTACTAATACTGACTCTCTGTACCATGTTTAAGTGTGGATGTAACCTGATATTTTAATGGGAATTGCTAGCAACTTTAAAACCGGCCTTTTACCCAAAACGTCTTAGGGCTCTAGTGTAAATTCAACAATTGTTCTAGTCAAATTAAAAAAAACTTACAATTTGTTGAACATTGCGTTTCGCAAAAAATGTCATCATAAATCTAGGCAAAATATACCATTGTTTCTTTTGTTCAACTGTCAAGATTTATTGATACGATCTATTGGAGGGTGCTGCACATTGACTTGATGCAAGACAAACCATAGAATAACATCAAAACAAATATTTGCATTTTGAAGGTTTTTTATTACACTGTATCAACTTGGTTATTTCATGTTTGCCTTGTTTGAAAGTCATGGCATCTTTGTAAGGCAATTTTCAGTTGCCAATATTGTTTGCAGGCCTCCCTCTTTTTTATTCAAAATAGCAATTTCTGTTATCGCACCCTTAGGTGCTATATTGTGATATTTTTAAATATCCTATCTATTTTTTTAATCAAACGATTTTAAGGACCGAGCTCTAAAACGTTCATTCACAATAGTTGGACATGCATGTTTCAACAATCATGAGTGTGCAAAACAAACGATTGGTCATTTTAATTATCTTTTAGTTTAAATTGATACCAATCTTTAATATAACAAGAGATAGCGTTGCAGGCAGAATTCCTACGACATTTTTATCACAAACATGTATCAGTATCATATGTGCACATGTTTGGAACAAATAGTTCAGAAAACAACAGAATCGTTTATTTAATACCTCAGTTTTGTTAGTAAAGGGAACTTCAAAAAACGGTGAAGATCGAAGATCTGCACTTCTAAACCGTCCCGTTTACCTTAACAATAGTGATGTATTAAATCGACGATTCTGTTTTCTACTTGTTCGCAAATAAGTTAATTTTCTTAAACACATAATACCGACATACATTTGTGATAAAAAATGTTGTGGCATTTCTGCCTACAACGCATGAAAAAGGGAAAAAAGAAAATCTTCGTTTCGGTGACCAGCATAATGAGTGGATCACCAGTAATTTTGGTGAACTAAAGCATAATCTTCTAGTTTGTGAAACCAAATCACATGGGGTATTCACTACCAAACTTGAAATAACAAAAACATGTTTGATTTTAATTTACTTTCCTCCTATTTATTTCCATACAGCATTCTTATTAATTCTTGTTTTAACATCATAATTGATTCACATCATGAACGATTCAAAATGAAAAAGCTATCAACAATGCTTCCTTTAGTAATCTAATGAAATATCATTATCAGACTTAATGGAGTGGTTGTACAAATGTATACTTAAAAATTTCTTGTAAGGATTATTTGCACAACCTAACCAAGGTTCAGAGAAACATTCATTTGTCCATGGAGAAACAAGTACTCTATACCACTGGTGATCCACTCGATTACGCTGGTTACCAAAACGGTTCGTTTCGGTAACAAAATGTCGGAACATCGAAGGTACGATATTCCTTTTTTCCTTATTTCACATGTTGTCAGCAGAATTCCCACGACATTTTCAATACAAACGTGTATCAGTATCATATGTTTAAGAAAATGAACATATTTGCGAACAAATAGTTCAGAAGACAACAGAATCGTCCACACTTAAGTTCACGCCTGGTGATCGTACAAAATGGATGGAGGGGGATAAGGCGATTTCTGCAAGAAAACTCGACAAATTTGGAAGATTAATTTTTCAAGAGAAAATTTACAACTGAATTGCCAAATGAATAGGCGCAGAGCATGGCAAAATATATCAGGCCATCTAGTATATTTTCTGAACGGATACCCTCAGACCCTTGTAAGATATGAGATCTATTAAAAAGGCGCATCATCACCAACGTGCAAAAGTCAATGTTTTGCTATAAATCGGGCAACAGTGGTCTACACGACCTGTAATAAATAGGTATAAGGGACGTTACTATCTCAATACTAAGGACATTGCACACTTTTTTTCTGCCTACAACTCGCGAAATAAGGAAAAAAAGAAAAATAGTACCTTCGACGTTCCGACATTTTGTTAGCGAAACAAACCGTTTCGGTAACCAGGGTAATCGAGTGGATCACACGTGTATATGAGGACATCATAGTAAAAACATATTCTTCATCCCTTTACTTTCATAAGGGGTCTTCATAATGGGTCTTAACTAGTGTTTTAATCTTTAGCAATTTTCCATATTCAAATAACTGCAGCCAAGATCTACTGAAGTCTCAAAAGTGTGAATGTTTTTACAAATGCAACAAATTCAATGCAATAATACTAATAAAATCATTTCCTGCACATGGCGAGAGCCTTGTCACTTGTTGAAGAATATGTGATTACGATGATGCTTGTAATATACAAGAAAAAAATTATCTATGCTGTTTACAAGTGTATTTCAAATGATTTTATTTAATTACAAGTGTTCATTTTCTGGCTACTGGCTATAAATAAATATGTGTTGAATACAGTAGATTACAGATTTTTTAACTTACAGTATTACAAAATACTCCTCACTAGTCAACTTGAAGAAATTGGGTCTGTTGTGCAACCTTAATTAATAAAACTGATTGTTACAATGAGCAGTTTAGCATGCAGACTAGCCCCAATATCTGTACACACTTTATACTCCCTGTTCAATACTAACCTGCCTTCAATGAGGTGCAACGAAGGCTCCAGTTTTCAACTAAAAGATCTTTATTCTGATAGCTCATTTGTGTATTCTCATATCTCAATCTCATTTCTGCAGCCATGAAAAATAAAGCATCCTCCAAAATAATACATTTTCTAATCAACTTTAAGCAAAGGAATATGTTTAATTTTTTTCATTTCCATTTGTTCTCTTTTTTTGTATTTTGTCTCAATTTATGTACATGAACATTAAAATTAATGTATTATACAAGGATATTATTACACTTAAAACAGCACTATACTTATTTACATTTCTTCCTAAAATATGTACAAGGTGATTTGCTTTTCATTACAAATTGAAATCAATTCTCACAGCAAAAAAGTGAGTTCCTCAGAAATAAACATAAGTTCACATTTTGGAATGCAGTCTAGCATGTGATTATTAACACCTCTTGACCCCCTTACATATATGATTCTTCCCCTCATTCTAAGTTGGTATTTTTAAATTACATTAGATGAAAATGTTCAGTATACTATTTGATAACATGGGATATAATTGGCTAATATGGACAACCTCTAGGAGCCGAGTATTTCTTAAAGGCCAGACATCAACCAGACCGACCAATTTCCATATGGGCTAGTAAATATCCTACGGGTATATATATACGGGTGATGGGTGGTGGTCTGGCCCTTAAGAAATACTCTGCTCCTATATATATATATATATATATATATATCACAAGGCGATTATGGGTCGATTTAAAATAGAAATTCCAATTAAAACAATGGAAGATCTGGTACTTTCATTTCTCACATACTAACGCAGAATTGGCCTTTTCCCCTTGCAAAAGTCACTAATTTCATTTGCCGAATTCAGCGTTTTCAGCTATAACATAGCTGTGTGGACTTGATGACAAAGAAAGTAAGATGGCCTCAGAAAAGTTAATCAGTTCTAGAACTTCATACCATGTAAAATGTGTAAAAATTTGAAGTAAATCCGTCAAGTGGTTTTCCTGGAATCGCGAGGACAAGATTTATCTCAGAACTTCCAAAATGGCTGCCAGAATGCAAGATGGCTGCCGAAAAGTTAATCAGCTCTAGAACTTCATTCCATGTAACATGTGTGAAAATCTAAAATAAATCCGTTAAGTGGTTTTCCTGGAATCGCAATGACAAGATTTATATTATAAAAACTTCAGCTCTAGAATTTCTTATTATGTAACATGTGTGAAAATTTGAAGTAAATCCGTTGAGTGGTTTTCATGGAATTGCAACAAGATTCATCTAAAAACTTCCAAGATGGCCACCAGAATGCAAGATGGCTGCCTAGGAGTTAATCATCTCTAGAACTTCTTATTATGTAATATGTGTGTAAATTTGAAGTAAATCTGTTCAGTGGTTTTCCAGGAATCGCGATGACAAGATTTAACCAATAAAAATTCCAAAATGGCCGCCCAAAAGTTAATCAGCTCTAGAACTTCTTACCAAGTAACATGTGTGAAAATTTGAAATAAATCCGTCCAGTGGTTTTCCTGGAATGGTGATGACAAGAAAGTTAGATGCCACCCACCCAACAACCCGGCGCCCGTCAATCTGACGACAATATTGTACCATTTTTTAGGTGGAATAATAAAAAACTATTAACAATACTTGCTGTAGATACCTACATTTTAGTAGAAGACTTGTAGAAGAGTAAGTCAAGTGTTAAAAAACGAATCGCTTCCCGTTATTTAACATTGAGGAATTCCATCGACATCACCTGTAACATAAAGAAAACATAGATTTAAGAACAACGGCAAAACAATATTGCACCCCTTCTTAAATAAACAGAAGGGGCAGTGGTCAGCTAACTTACATGAACTTAGCTCTTTTGAGTCAAAATGAATATATTTGTCCAAATTAAAAATGAAGGTAAGCCAACTGAGTTTCTGCTTCCTACAAAACTTAAGTAGTAAATCCTATTAATTTGGTGCACTTTCAACACCACCATCTATTCAATTTGGCTGAACAGGTGATGTATATATTTTAGTACTTGTTACTGTTAGTTGGTAAATTGGGTGACCACTAAGTTTGAGTTTAAACAGATTTTTGGACACTAGATTTATACCAGTCATTGTTCTGGATTTAACCAGCTGTAGTTCTGGCCAGTAGCAGGGAATGATGGACCATTTTACTTGATGTGTCATTGCTAAGGTAAACTTCATTCAAATGTGTGGATTCAAAGTACTACTGTGTTGAGTAGTAATTCAAATGAAACAAGGCACAGGGTAAACAATATCGTACCTAAAACATAGTTTGGGCTTGATGACCCAGAAAGCAAGATGGCCACCAAAAAGTTAATCAGTTCTCGAACTTCTTACCACGTAACATGTGTGAAAATTTCAAGTAATTCCGTTTAGTGCTTTTCCTGGAATCCCGATGACAAGATTTATCTAAGAACGTCCAAAATGGCTGCTAGAATGCAAGATGGCTGTCCAAAAGTTAAGCAGCTCTAGAACTTCTTACGATGTAACATGAGTGAAAATTTGGCGTAATCCGTTAAGTGATTTTCCTTGAATCGCAATCACAAGATTTAAACTTCCAAGATGGCTCCCAGAATGCAAGATGGCCACCGAAAAGTCAACCAGCTCTAGAACTTCTTACTTTGTAACATGTGTGAAAATTTGAAGCAAATCCATTAAATGGTTTTCCTAGAATCGCAGTGACAAGATTTATCTAATAAAAACTTCCAAGATGGCTGCCAGAATGCAAGATGGCCACCAAAAGTTAATCAGCTCTAGAACTTCTTACCATTTAACATTTCTGAATATTTGAAGTAAATCCATCAAGTGGTTTTCCTGGAATCGCGATGACAAGATTTATCTAAAAACTTCCAAGATGGCTGCCAGAATGCGAGATGGCTGCTGAAAAGTTATCAGCTATAACCATGTAACTTGTGCAGTTGTGTGAAAATTTGAAGCAAATCTGTTCAGTGGATTTCCTGGAATCGCGATGACAAGATTTATCTAAAAACTTCCAAGATGGCCGGCAAAATGCAAGATGGCCACCAAAAAGTTAATCAGCTCAAGAACTTATTACTATGTAACATGTGTGAAAATTTGAAGAAAATCCTTTAAGTGGTTTTCCTGGAATTGCAATGACAAGATTTATCTAAAAACTTCCAAGATGGCTGCCAGAATACAAGATGGCCACCCAAAACATGTGTGAAAATTTGAAGTAAATCCGAAAAAAAATCTGTCAAGTGGTTTTCCTGGAATCGTGATGACAAGAAAGTGAGATGCTGCCCGCCGCCCACCAAGCTAACGACAATATCATACATTTTTTCAGGTACATTAAAAATGTACTGAAACAAAATATCCGAACAACCTAGAGTTATTGCCTAGTCCTATTAGCATCGAAGATTAGATTGCAATGCATCGAATGGCTTGTTATCATATCCATGACAACTGGGTATTCCAGCAATATAATAAGCAACAAACATGTGTGCAAAAATATTATCACATATTCTTTTACCAATTAATGACATCCAAGAACCCCCCCCCAAACTTGATTGCCAAATTAAGCATTTCTGCATACTATGCTCTCTATTAGTGATAATATCAAAGAACCCCTTCCCTTGCTCATAAAATCAAAATATATTTATGCACACTATACTCTCAAACAAGAACAAATAGAGCTGAGCTAAATAAAGAGGGGTTAGCTTGTAAACATAAAATCCTGTTCCAGTTCTTCACCCTGGGACCTCCTCAATGTAATTGGTGAATGGATTGTAAATATTCCAATGTCCCAGATATTAACCTTTTATTGATTGGTTAGGCTAAGTAATCAGAACCATCTTTTATATTTATTAACCAACAAATCAGGCCACTTAGCTTAGCTCAGCTCTTTGGGACAAAGTCCAGTCAATGAATTGTAAAAATTGATAACAGACCATAATAGGACTTTATACTCCAATGTTAGAACAGCAAGTCTGGGATCTGCACCTGAAGAAGGAAAGGTAGAGTTTTTCAGTATAACTATTTGTTCTACACTTTGTTCAGGATTTAAGAATTCAGATTTATCAAGATTTGTGAAAGATAAAAACCTTTTCTTCAATTTCAAAAAACATGTAGAATTACTAGTAATACAATTTGTCAAGATTTTGCACAAATATTGATACTTCTGTTACAGCATTATAAAGTCTTCATGGCTATATTGATTTTTCCTGAGTGTTTACCTATGCCCTAGCATTTATAACCATTTCAAAATCACTCTGTCTTTTAAATTGTTTTGAATTTGTACATTTTGAACTTGACATTCTCTGTTCTGCCAGACTCGGCCTGTGTCCTAATGTTGAAACCGATACAGACCTTTTAGGTCATATACTTAACAATTGTCAAGTCAATCATCATTTCCTTGGTACCAACTTTTCAAATGCTTTGCCAGCTTTGGTGCTACATTGACCGCAGAACTCCAAAGAAACAGCACCATTAGATACGTGTAGACATACACCAGCATCTTGTGGGTTGGCATGACCAGGACCTGAAAAAGAGAAAGAACCAACAGGCTTCTTGGAATCAGAAAGATTCGACTGTCCAGGTTTTTGATATGCATGATCAGTCTCTGCAACTTTAAGAGAATGACCAATTCTTTTGCTTGTGGTGACCATATTATTTGTAGAGAATAAATCTATCTTTGTTTTTTTCTTGCTCTCGTTGGACTCTTTTCTACCCATCGATAATAAGGGACGCTTTGATGAGATATTAGACTCGATGTCAGCCAAACACTCAGATGAATCTTGTTCACTGTTTTTCATGTCCTTATTTTTAGCCATGGATGATGAGGGGGGCTTTGCTAAGACATTAGGCTGAATGTCAGATAAGCACTCCGATGATGTCAGTATAATGTCTGGTGTATTGATGTTTCTCAACAATGATGACAATGTGCTTTGATTCGCAATCACACTACGCAAATAACAGATCTCATCATGAAGAGCCTTGGACGCCTTTTCCATCTCATTCATTGATTTTTTCATGCATTGGTTCTCTTTTAAAAGTTTTTTATTGGCATTTTCGAGTTCAGTCAATTGTTCTTTCTTTTTTTGGCGTGCCTCCCGAGCAAGAATTGCATTTTTGGACATACATTTATAAGATTTTGTCGATGGATGAAATTCATCATCATTGTGTTCAAGGGTACGCTTGGGGGCAATCGTTTTCACAATATGAACTCCAGGTAAATCAGCTCTACTGCTTGACAGTCCGACATCATTGGGAAGTCTTACGATATTTACAAATGGGTTTTTCAATGGTGTTTTATTATCATTTGATAAATAGTTCAGCAATTCTTCTTCTTCAGATAGATTCAATTTGATCTTCATTATCTTATTATTACTGATGCATCCTGCACGAATGATTTCTTTCTCACGACATTCAGAAGATTTTGTCGAACCAAAGTCAGACATAGATGTATCGCTAGAATCATTTAATTCGCTTGGAATAATAGGAATGTTGGTTTCTGCAGACTTTTCTTTTGGATTCATTGCAGGTAGATCTAGTCCTGGAAAAAGATCCAAATTTGTAAGGTCTGTAAATTCCAACTCACTTCTTACGGAGCTATTTCTACCTCCAGTCAAAACAGATTCGCCATACGACATATTAGTATCTTACGTAATTGCCTATGTATAAGCTTTGCATTGTACGACGCATTTCACCTGCTTGTAAATTGTATAAACTACTAGAATTTTACGTCAGAATGTTTGTTTCCTGCGCTACATATAGTAGTAAAATGGCGACTGTACGTTACCTCAACGTTGCCAGGACGAAGAAGTGCTCAATAGTATACACTAATATATAATTATATTTGCACAGTCTATAGATAAATTAGTGTAATTAAAATAAAATATTGATAATCGAAAACAAAGAAAGGTATATACATAGGAATAATATTTTTTATTTATTCTTTTTATCACAATTGAATTCAGAAATGGATATTGACATGATCCCTGTATTAGTCTTTTCATGAAGATTTAATTGAAATTGCTTTAACAATTAACCTGCCATCTTTTAATAAAATTATTTATTTACATTAGAGACAGAGGGAGATACTACACAAAAAGTACATCAGATGAGGAGATCAAACTTCGAAGAGGAAGGAACTGCATATGTCAGTGGTAAGAAAATGTTCATGCATAAAGAAATCTATAACATCGCAACCATCACGACACAATTTTGTAGATATCTAAAAATATAGCTCAGAATTGAAGAGGATGCACATCACATGCTATCCCCACATGCTATCTATTGCAAGACTTATGGCTGGCACAACCGTCACCATGTTATTAGCTATTTTTAAGTATCGCAAGGATCCTGCCATGACCGTGGTATTGTTATCGTGAAGGCCAGGTATAACCGTGACTATGCTATATTGTATTGCAAGGCCTGATATGACAGTGACAATGCTACATGTATGTTATATTGCAAGGCCTGTCATGACCGTGGTAAGGCCTTATATGGCTGTGGCAATGGTTGTAAGGCCTGTCATGACTTAGTTGCAATATGGGGTATATAGTATAGCATTGTCATGGTCATATCAGGCTTAAACATTACCACGGTCATGTCAGGCCTTGCAATATAGTATAGCATTGTCACGGTCATATCAGGCTGTAACGTTACCACGGTCATGACAGACCATGCAATTTAATATAGCATTGTTACGGTTATACAAGGCTATCACGATAACACTACCACGGTCATGGCACGATCCTTGTGAAACTTAATAAAAACACTTAATTACATGGTGACGGTTGTGCCAGGCATAAGTCTTGCAACAGATAGGGTCTCAGAGGATGGGCTTGGAATTGGAACAAGATAAACACATTTTTTATTACTCACTTCGAGAGCCATGTTAGATTTTGAAACTTATTATTATTATATCAAAATCCAAATAGCTTTCGTCACCCATTCTCCTCACCCCTCCTGTTTACTACCCACATCCATTTGCAACCCAGTCATGGTAAAGTCCGATATTGTCACCTCAATTGCACTGTTGTGTCCTGTATTGCCACCTGCAGTAACTTTGTTTGTGTCCTATATTGTCACCTTGGTAATGTTGTGTCCCATATTCAGGCCTGTCAACTTGGGAACACCTAACATGAGTGACTTGGAAATGTTGAACACCTCCCCTCAAAATGTGGACACCTTGGTCCAAATCTGAACACCTTTATCCAAATTTTGAACACCTTGGTTTCCATATTATTACATCTTGCCAAATTTTGAACACCTCAAATTTTTCGCGCTCGCTACGCTCGCGTTTAAGGTGCTATGGAAGTTAACAGGAAATGACAAAACAGGAAGTGACAAGTTTTTTTGCATTTTTAGATATTTTTTGAATAAAAATAACAGAGTTCTGGTTTGACCTCCAGTCAATTTAACTATTTCCACATATCATTTACATGACCAGGATCACAATGTGCATGGTCAGAATGAACCTAAACATGATGAAATAACCTTTTTAGCCCTTTGAAAGTGTGACTGAAAAAAAGCTAAAAGTAGGAGCGTAGGGATAGTCACTGAACAGAATCTTTTGAATTTTTCAGAAAATGTGCCCAATATAATGCTCTAACTAGTACAATCTTTGAAATTTTAGAAAATTGTCTTAAACAAAAATGGCAGTCATAAAAAGGAAAATAGATCGCTTTTCAAATCAGTTTTTTCATTTTTTTTTCTTTTTCTATGAATGATATCAAATTTTCAAAGATTGTATCATTTAGAGCAATATATTGGGCACATTTTCTGAAAAATTCAAAAGATTCTGTTCACTGACCTTCCCTACGCTCCTACTTTTAGCTTTTTTCAGTCACACTTTCAAAGGGCTAAAAAGGTTATTTCATCATGTTTAGGGTCATTCTGACCATGCACATTGTGATCCTGGTCATGTAAATGATATGTGGAAATAGTTAAATTGACTGGAGGTCAAACCAGAACTCTGTTATCTTTATTCAAAAAATATCTAAAAATGCAAAAAAAATTGTCACTTCCTGTTTTGTCATTTCCTGTTAAGTTCCATAGCACCTTAAAACATCCATCAACGGGGGGGGGGGGGGGGGGGGGAGGTAGGCACGAAAATTTTCGAACGGAATGCGTGACATATACGTAATTCGCGTGAAAAGTCCGAACGAAATGCGTACATTTTTTTCCGGCGTTCGTATTTTTGTGTGCAGACGATCTTTTTTAGAAATTTTTCTACAGAAATATTTTTGCTTGACAATTACCAGGTAAAATGCGTATTTGCGTGACATTTTCTGTCACGCAAAAATAACTGGCGTGACTTCAAATTCTTCAGCAAATGCGTGACAAATACGCAAATTACGGGACAGTTGACAGGCCTGCATATTGTCACCTTGGTAATGTTGTGTCCCATATTGTCACACCACTCAGGTATAAATGCCTATGAATGGTTAGAAACTTGACTTAATGTCACTTTATTGACACAGAACTAGAGTACACTTCGTATAATATTCCGTCATGTGGGACCCATGTGCAGAGCTGTCAAGTGTCCCGCGAATGGCGGGATTATCCCGCGAATTTGACCAAAATTTGGCTTATTCGCGTGTCCCGCAATGTCCCGCGAATTCCCGCAAATGACGGCTTTGACCTCCGCGAATTTTCAAAATTGTAACAATCCCCGAGGCTAAATAATTGTGATTATATTGTGATATAAGAAGCTAAGCTTTTTGCACTTTTGAGGAGTCAAGTTTACCCAATTTGAAAAGTGCTGCCGAACTCCCAGTGCATCAGATCATCGAAGACTGCTTTTGGAAGGAGCATATAGTTACTCCCGTCGAGAGCTACTTAGATTTTGAAAGTATAGCTCTCTATCGCTAGAATCAATAGCTTAAGAATCCTGACTTCAAAGAAAATTTCAGGGAATTCAGCTGACTCATGTTGCACATTATATACCTGAAAATGTATCCTACATCGCCATCTTTCATCCAGCTCAACTATAGAACGTCTCACTGCCCTATGTATCGATCAAGACTTCATTTTATTGGTCGTGTCAAAAGTTTTGGCCAGGTATATTCAATATGGCGGCTTGACGTTTCCCAAGTTGCGCATGCGTCGATAGTATTTCCGTTTAACCGCCATATTGGAAATGGTATCGAACAAAAAACGATTAGAACTCCTGATCGCCATAGAAGCACATCTGCGATCCTACATGCACGGGGAAAGTAGACACATATGAGCCCATATGTAGGCTACAGTTTGAGACAAACAGCAAGCCACTGACTGGCGCTGATCAAATTTAGATGTCACAATTCATCAGCTGGGAGATCCTCACGATGGAGAGCTATACTTTCAAAATCTAACATGGTACATGTAGCTCTCGACGTGAGTAAGCATATAGTACACTTATAAAACTATGATTTTGATCCAAATAACACCATAGTTGGCTTCTAGCATGCCGTTTGGTATCAAAATAAAGAGGAAGAGTGCAAATTTCATTTTAATTACGGAAAAAGGGATGTATGTCACGATTAGTTCCAACGTTGGCCTTTTTACTACGCGTGTCACGGCCTTCATCTCAGAACTGAACAAATGTTAGCAAACGCGAGTTCCAATAAATAGACACTGATATCTCGAAAAGAAACCTGACTCCCCATAATTTGATGTAGAATAATCGAACCCCTATACTAATAGGTACATTTTGATATATAACACTATGGGGGTAAATGTTTCATAGTTGGTCACGAACGCCATAAGTGCAAAGTATTCACAAAAATTTTTGAATTTCGTGTCGGATTACGGTACTCACACCTAAAGCGTGGTTTTCGATAGTTTAATAATAGTTCTATGCGTATTGTGTGGAATTGTGTTGACGTTTACTTAAGTTAAGTGCATTATATTTGATAAATCAGTATCTGAAAGTTTGATTCAAGAGTACTTTTACATTAAAAATTCCTTGAATGTCCTGCGACATCCCGCAAAAGGTGGATGTCCCGCAAAATCCCGCGAATTTAGGGCACTTTGTCTAGAAAAATTATCCCTCTCTGAAGTCATTGGTGGTTACCCTGTTAATTGTCCCGCAAGTAGCGTGTTTGTCCCTCGAATGGTCCCGCGAAATCCCGCGAATTTGATCAAAATTTGACCTTTTAGCGCAATCACGCAAATCCCTTAAGGTACAGCTGGAAAGTAACATTTTGGTAAAAAATTGCTATACCTGCACATGTTATTTTCTGGTACAAAATAAAGTATGAAGTCATGTATCAATTTCCTTGCTTTTTTCAGGAAAGTATCATTACATTGTCTTCTTTTAGAATATCTGGTAGGCGTTCAAAGGGAACTCCAGGGAATTCTAATATTTCACACTTCCTGTTTTTCCAAATTTTCTTTCAAAGTTTCCAGACAACACAGGAGCTACCATTGACCTGTTTCCAGGTTTACTAAAAGTAGACAGTGTAATGATACTTTCCTGAAAAAAGCAAGGAAATACACACATGCCTTCATACTTAATTATGTACCAGAAAATAACATGTGCAGGTATAGCAATTTTTTACCAAAATGTTACTTTCCAGCTGAACCTTAATGTCCCGCGAAATCCCGCGAATTTAGGTGGATGTCCCGCAAAATCCCGCGAATTTTTGGAACTGGGTCTAAAAAATCTGTCCCGCGAGAAAATCTTTGGGGGTTGACAGTACTGCATGTGCTAGATCCATAGGAATCTAACTTACCGTTGTCTGACATATCATGTGATAGATCATCATCCATATACAAAGGCCGATCCAGAAGTTCTGATAAAAATTTCCTAAGTAAGGATTCAGGAAGCACTTGAAAATTTTACACAATTTACATAATTTATCACATGCATTGCTATCTATTGCAAGACTTATGCCTGGCACAACCGTCGCCATGTTATCAAGTGTTTTTAAGTTTCGCAAGGATCGGGTTTGTGTAAAAAACCGGGTGACCGATTGGCTGGGTAACCGGGTACTTAACGTTCCTTGCAGGGTTACCAACTTTCAAAGTTGCACATTTTGTAGACTACCCTTCAATATTTTTACATTATCATTTTACCAAGAACCTCTAAGAGACTAAATTTCGGAAGTTCAAGGTAGTTACAGTGTACCATGGGCTTTCCCAATTGTCTGAATGATTGACAGGATCGATGATTGTTTTCTATGATGGCTATTCGTACTAGATATTTAAAAAATAAATCTGGAAGATTTATGTACGCGTAAATTGAAACGTAATTGGCCATTTTTATCTGTTAATTAGTGTATGATGTACAATACAACATTAGTTGCTTGATTTATTGCCTCACTGATTGACATTATAAATTAATTTTGTTTGTCGTTTTGCCAGTTGATTTATTGGTAGATAAATTTTGTTGCAATTGTTTGGTTGTATGCTTGATTGGTTGTGTCACTGGTATGTTGATTGGGATGTCAGTTGGGCGTTTTGAGGCATAAAATGAAAAAATCAAATTCCTAACCCTGGTAGGAAGGTACAGTACCCAGTCACCCGGCTACCCAGTCACCCGTTTTTTTACACAAACCCTGCAAGGATCCCGCCATGACCATGGTATTGTTATCGTGAAAGCCTGGTATAACCGTGACAATGCTATATTATATTGCAACCCCTTTCATGACTGTGGTAATGTTAAAGCCTTATATGGCTGTGGAAAGTCCAGGGGGGCATTATCTGGGAAGTATGGAGAATGTCCTAATCACTTTTTAGGAATTATTTTACAGAGATGAACTGAAAGCTTAGTATCTCATGTTTTGTCTAATGTACATGTATCATGAAGCGTTCATGTTTTCTGTATCAAACAGGATTTATAATGATTTCACACTTATGAGAAGACAGGCCCATAGCCAGGGGGGTTCGATCAGGCCTGTCAACTGTCCCGCAATTTGCGTATTTGTCACGCATTTGCTGAAGAATTTGAAGTCACGCCAGTTATTTTTGCGTGACAGAAAATGTCACGCAAATACGCATTTTACCTGGTAATTGTCAAGCAAAAATATTTCTGTAAAAACGTACGCATTGCGTTCGGACTTTTCACGCGAATTACAAATATGTCACGCATTCCGTTCGAAATTTTTCGTACCTACCCCCTACCCCCTAGATGGAGAGGGTCATCTGAAATGTAATTACATTTGGATCAACATTGAAATATTGACCTGGTCCCTTATGCAAATACAAGGTGTGTTTCACATGTCAAATTGCATTCTGACTCTGCATGAAATATGATGGAGGTCACATAGAGCACATGTGATCTAAAACATAACATTTCTCAGTATGTAATTCAACTATGAATCTTTAATTGTAAATTGGAAAAATTTCTTAATTAGTACTGTATTATGTAAGATATTCTTTTTTGGAACACCCAGTATGTTGATTCAAAATGTGAGTACAAGAGGTGGAGAAACCCCAGGGTTCAGAGATGACATACATGTACGCTTATAATGTAAATCTGTATTGAGATGACATCGTCACTGATTGGTTTAGCGAGTCAATTGTTGAGTGGTTTACTTCCGGGAAAGGAGGTGCGCGAAGGGAGGAAATCGTATGTCATCAATTGAATCATGGGGTTTTCCCTCCTCTTTGTGAGTACTAATAACCATATATTGAGTGAAAAATATGAACATTGATGTAATATTTGATGAAAGAACTTTTAATGATATCATTTTTTTATCAATATCAGCTGGCTTTGTATAAAAAACCTCCTACCCACGTACCCTCGTACCCACGTACGTGGGTCCTGACCCAGTCTTTAAAGAGTTAAATCTTTTACATTTTTTAAACATTATTCTATCTCAATGTATGCTTAATTATGGATGAATTTATATACCCATATGCCTTTATTTCTAGATCGGACATCTGTCTCGTCATAAAATAAAGCCGGCATTGCATAATGTTCATTGGAGCTATTTGAGTGTTGTTTTTGATATATCGAAGCGATTTTTTTGTTGATCGGGCAGTCTTACAGTGTACAACCAATCTATTGCTTGGCGCAAATTCGACCAAGCGCATATATTTAGTATTTTTGTCAGTCATACTTTTAATAGTCCTATACCTTTAAATTTACCATAATGTATATAGAATTTTGTATAAATGAAGTGTAATTATATCTATGACAATCTAAATAACGTTACAAAGATCGATGCGCAGATCCACGTTTTATTGAGTTTGAATCTCACGCGTCATGCACGTGTAGTTAATAGCCGCCTAAACTTCCCGGAAGAAGTCTGAATATTCACATTGGAAATTTGTTATACTCCTAGATTGCCTTTATATACGTTATATTGAACAGGATATAGGTCCATGCCTAAGGTAAGTCCATATGTAATTTAGATGTAATTTGAGTTAGGTCTGCACGGTCTGCAGTAGATGTAAATGTCAAAGAATGTGTTATACAGGTAAGACTGCCCGATCAACAAAAAACATTTCGACATATCAAAAACATAAATCAACTAGCTCAAAAATAATGAACATTTATGCAATTCCGACTTTATTTTATTTTACTGAGAGAGATGTCAGACCTATAAATAAAGGCATATGGATGCATAAATTCATCTATAATTCAGGATAAACTGAGATTGAATAATGTTTTAAACATTTAAAAATTTAACTCTTTAAAGACTGGGTCAGGACCCACGTACGTGGGTACGAGGGTACGTGGGTGGGAGGTTTTTTATACAAAGCCATATCAGCTAGCCAACAACAAAATAGTATGCTGATATAAATATTATCAGGCTCACTGTGGAGGAACTCTTCAAACTAATTACAGAAACAGATCCGTTTACGTAACAAAAAGTCGCAGCCTCGAAGATATGATTTTTCTTTTTTTTCAAGATTTCACGAGTTGTAGGCAAAATTGTCACAACCTTTTTGGTAAAAACATGCGTAAGCATCATATTTTTATGAAAATCTAATAATTTATGAACGAATAATTCTCGAGGCGTCAGAATGTTCATAATTATTCCTCACTGTTATTACGAAAACAGAACGGTTATTAAGTGCTTTAACCGTTTTCAACATTCGTTTTCGTCACTTAAGTGGAGAATAATATCGATGATTGTGTCGTCTCATGAATTATTCGATCAAAAATGTTTGAATTTTCTGAAACATATGTTGCTGCCACACATTTTTGCCCAAAATGTCGTGGACATTCTACCTACATCTTGAGTAATCATGGAAAAAGTAAAATCGTTCCTTCGTAAAAACAGATCCGTTTATGTAACATTTTGAAGAGTTCCTCCACAGTGAGGCTGGTTATATACACATTGTGATAAGCCCTGTGCCTTCTCCATCTCTATCCCACGATGAGATGCAATACAACAAAAAAAGATGCTTTGAGTAGCAGAATGGTTATTATTACACTATTATTGGCATAATCATGCTTTTTGCTTTGTAGGAACAAGGCTACCTAAATAGATTCCCAAAGTTATATCATGATATACAGCAATATTATTGTGGCTGCTACCTTACTGGTTGCAATAGTGATGGCTAAACAACCAAATATTGTGATCATGGTTGCTGACGATCTTGGCATGGGGGATGTTGGTTGTTTTGGAAACGGCACTATTAACACACCAAATATTGACCGCATTGCTAAAGAGGGAGCCAAGCTAACGCAACATCTAACAGCTGAGGCCATATGTACTCCAAGTCGGGCAGCTATGCTCACTGGGCGATACCCAATAAGATCTGGTATGTTTAATTTTGTGATGTTGTTGTAGAGGGTTAATTAATGATCTTGTATAGCTAGGCAAGGTGTGTCCGATTCAAGCCAATCCAAAGAAGCTATATTTCACATTATGCATTCTGTTGTATAACCAAGCACAATGTCACTAGTTAAACAGTTGTCAAGGTGACAACTGGACTCTCCAGATGGCTTTAGATAAAAAACCTCCTACCTCATACCCACCTACCCACGTACATGGGACATGATAAAGTCCTTGAAGGGTTCAATTTTAAAAATTATTAAATCTTAGTTTATGTTGAATTATAGATGAATTAATGCACCCATATGCCTTTATCTATGGATCTGTCGGGGTCAACCCACTTGTCCGAAACCCAATTCTCCAAAACCCAGTTGTCCGAAACCCAGTTGTCCGAAAATTACAGCATACAGCTCTATGAACGAGCATTGTTAAAGGGTGTATTTGAGTGTAAATTTCATCAACTGAACGGTTCCTTTATGGGCTGGTATTTAATAAAACTGTCAAAAGATGAAAGTACAAGGGCATATACAGGTGATCGGCAAACAAACAAAGTTAAATTATGTTATTCTCATTGCAAAGTGGCGTTTACATAACATACAGTGCATAGGGGTGTACAATTTTTAAACCAATTTTCTTTATGCCCCATGGGCCTTTCGAGAGGGAACAACATTTTTCCAATGGGTGGTGGGTGTTCATAAAAGGGGAAATAGCTTTCCCAAGCCAGTGGGCATTTATTTAGTAAAGTTGACATGTACATCTTTGGAAACCAAAACTTATTCTTCACTTACGTACTCTGATCGAGAAATAGAGATTAAATTCAAAAGGATGAAGTGAGTACATGGCGAAAATGAAACTTCTTGCGAATGGGATATCGATAAGATTTTGATTTGATAAGAGACATGAGAGACTAAGAAATTAAATGCGACGAAATATTTTGACAACGTTTTTATGTACACTGTTTTATTCTTTAAGTTCTATGCGTTAACTTATTTTATCTGTTTCAAAATGTTTCATTTTATTTTGCCTATAAAAGAGATTGAAGAAGATAGATAAACTGTTCCGTAATATATATTGTGTTTTGATAACCTTTTTTAGAATCTCAATGTAAAATAAATCCCCCGTTCCTGCCATTCTGGTAACGCCATGCAATGGATGCAATTCAAAGTGAGAGAGAGATCTATGAACATCAAAATGCGTCCATACCATTAATTTGGCCAAATACATGGCATGGAACTGGCCTACGCTTAAACGTCCCCCCCCTTTCTCTGGTAAATTATGACTATATTTTTCGGATTAATGGGTTTCGGACAACTGGGGTCCACCCTGATCTGTCAACTGTCTTATCATAAAATAAAACCGGAAATGCAAAATGTTTAATGAGGAATTCTGAGGGAGATACAAGTGACAAAACATTGCTTCTGGGACGAGATGAAACGATTTTGACATATGTTTTTTAACCTACCTATTTATAATTTAACAATCAACGCAAGTATACATATCATATCTTAAAGCAGCAGCATGGACTGCGGAGTCATATCCAATGATCCTGGGCCCAGGGCCTATCCTAAAATGAAAGCTTTGAATATGTTGTTGCCTTTAAAATTGTATCTATTTTCCATGTATGCAGCTAAAATTTGTGCACATACCTTATATCGATCGATAATGGCAAAAGAAAATCCTCTAATTCTTCGTTGTCTTCTTCTTCTCCTTCGTCTCCGCCATTTTTTATTAAACTGGAAGTTTGTTCTCTAACGTCCGCGCAATGTTTTTTCAGTTTTATTTCAGATTACGCTTCGGACGGGTTCAACTTTAATGCTTTCTAATAATCGTCAAGTGATTTCTATTAGAAACGCTTTCATAAAAAGACTCGCACTATCAGAGATTTTATCAATTTCACCTACTAGGTGTTTTGACGTCGACTTGGAAAGGATTTGAAAAAAAGTGGGACTCCTTGTAGTAGAATTATGGATTCTAAACGATTTATCAGTTCCACTGGTTGATGAATATTGCCGTATGCATACATTATAACAAAATAAGAATAATGAAGAATTAAGATGTTAGACCAAACTTCATCCCGATAGCTCAGAAAAGGTAAAATTTATAAATTTTTCTCTCCACAGTCCTTAATGTAGCTGCTTTAAGCAGATTCATAAAAATATTTTTTCGAGGTCTCCTCTGCCGAAGGCAGCGCGAAGTAGGAGCGTAGCGACTTCTTTGCGGGAGACCTCGAACCATTGATCACGTTTGCTCCTGTAATTATTCACTTCTTCACCTCTTTAAAATGCCTGACCCTCTCATATCTGTTGATTATCCCTGTTTATAACTGATTCAAGAGCGTGGGACTGAACGAACCTATATGCCTTTTTGTTATTTGTTTAGTTGTTGGTTGGGTAACATGTTAATGACGTCACAAATGATGCGAAGAATCTTTAAACCAATCAGTGAAGTCTACAGGCCTGTCAACTGTCCCGCAATTTGCGTATTTGTCACGCATTTGCTGAAGAATTTGAAGTCACGCCAGTTTTTTTTGCGTGACACTTACGCATTTTACCTGGTAATTGTCACGCAAATATGTTTCTGTAAAAATTGTTTCAAAATATGTTTATGATACGGTAAAAATACGAACGTCGGAAAAAAACGAACGCAATTTGTTCGGATTTGTCACGCGAATCCCGTATATGTCACGCATGTTCATTGGAAATTTTCGTACTTACCCCCCCTACCCCCCCCCCCCCCCCCCCCCCCCCCGTTGACGACAACGCGAGCGTAGCGAGTGCGAAAAATTTGAGGTGATAAAAGTTTAGCAAAGGTGCTCAAACTTTGGCCAAAGGTGTTTAAAAGTTGGCCAAAGGTGTTCAAAATTTGGACAAAAGTGTTCAGATTTGGACTTCGGTGTCCAACATTTGTAAGTCACTCATATTAGGTGGTCCCAAGTTGACAGCCCTGAGTCTATATTAATTGTTTGTTTAGTTGTTGATGTGGCAATACGTGTCTGACGTCACGGGTGATTGCATCATATTCCAGTCACGCCATTTTACGACATTGCATAATTTTAGCTGATTTTGGGCTGCGGTTCTATGTAAGCAGTCACGAGCTAAAATGTCACGGCACATAGCCATTTCTAACCATGCAGCAACATGTATACATAAACATTCAGGCATTTTTTGACTTGGAGACCTCGACTCGAGGAGTTTGCTGCATTTTCTTGTTTGACTGAAATATTATCTATTTATCTAGTTTGGGGAAACAAAACTTATCAATGTACTGACAATATCCAACACAGGGCAATGAGGGCATTTCTAGGTGCATAGATTTGCATCTATCCCAGCAATGTACGGTGATTTGACATGGATGACACCATTAGACACTAGAAAATTAGATATTATACGTCTTTGGAACAGAATTACATTCATGAATAATAATCGTGTCACTAAAAGAGTGTTCATGGAAGATTATCAAAATGGGAAAGCAAGTTGATGCAGCGACTTTAAAAAAACTGTGCATTGATTTAAATTTTGAAGAGCACTACCGTGATCAAACATATATTGACTTACGTGTGGCACGAACCAGACTAATGAAGAAACAAAAAGAAAAATGGCATCAGGAAATTCTTGAACAACGTAAATTACGTACATATGTTACTTTTAAAACAGACTTTAAACCAGATCAATTCATTTTATGTGACTTGCCAAGAGGCACTAGATCACTGATTTCACAATTTCGGTATGGAATTCTACCTTTGCATATTGAAACTGGCAGATTTGTAAATACCAATGTAAATGAGCGTTTTTGTAACATTTGTAAGTCGGGTGAAATCGAAGATGAAAAGCATTTTATTTTTGATTGTAGTGCATATAGGAAAAAAAGAAATGAGTTCTTTGAAAAATTGGAAATAGAGAGTCTGACTTTAAGTGACATTTTTAAAAGTAAAAGATACACTAAGATGTTTGGTCAGTATTTAATTGACATAATGCAGATCAGGAAAGACTTTATTTTTAAACAATAACTAGTTATTTTAAAATGTTCTAATGTGTCTCATAAGCCCAGATAGGGCTGGTTGTATGATATGATACAAGTGACACTTTAATAAAATAAATAAATAATATAAAACCAGAGTTTTGTTCTGTGACGCCTGTGTGTGAAAATTTCGATTATTCAGATTTTGTTGTGGATTCGATTTAAATGCTTCTAAATGATCTTCTTGAATTATGCTTACTTAGATTTCTATTAGTAATGTTTTGACTTCCCCGCTTCATAAAAAGGACATTATCACCATTTACTTGACTCGAAAATTAACTTCCGGTCTATCATGATAATAAAGATCCTAAGTATTAATGCATGTATAATATGGGTTTTCAAGTTCAATAGGTGACTTTGAATGGACCTTTTTGCATAGTTTGAAAATAGAATTGACTCAAAAGCCTGAAAAAATTGAACATTTTATTGGCTGTATATTACAGTGTGAATTTGAGCTATTTTGTTTTCAGGTCTGCTTTTGATTTTTCGAAATGGTTTTTGTTGATCGGGCAGTCTAACAACACATCTTGAACTCCTGCCTTTTCTATCGATCGTATACATATGATCGATCCCTTAATAGCCTTTGCGCAAATTCAACCAAGTGCATTTACAATATTTTTGTCATTCCGTCATACTTTAAATAACCCTATCAGTATGCACTTTTAATTTACCTTGTATATCAATTAAATTGCTCTATTTTGACAAAACGATTTAAATTTCTCAATTAACAATTCTGAAATTCGGCTTTATTCTATTATCTGTATAGATACTGATAAAGGCATAGGGGATGGGTGCATTAATGCATCTATAATCAAGCATAAACTGAGAATGAATAATCTTTCAAAATTTCACCCTTCAAAGACTGTTTCAAGACCCACGTACATGTGTACGAGGTTTTTTATACAATGCCAGACTGCCGATCAACAAAAGTCATTTTGAGAAATCAAAAGCAGACATGTCCAATCAAAATAACTCAAATTATTAACATTTCTGCAATTCCGCGGCTTTATTTAATGACATGAGAGATCCATAAATAAAGGCATATTGCATATTGATTCATCTATAATTCATCATAAACTAAGATTTAATCATTTTTAAAATTGAACCCTTCAAGGAGGCTTTGTATAAAAAACCTCCTACCTCATACCCACCTACGTGGAACATGATACAGTCATTGAAGGGTTCAATTTTAAAGATTATTAAATCTCAAAATAGCTCAAATTATTAACATTTCTACAATTCCGGCTTTATTTTATGACTAGACAGATGACAGATCCATAAATAAAGGCATATGGATGCATTTTAATGTGTAATGACCCGAGGGCACCCCAGCATATGTCCAACAAGCCAGATAAAGAAATTGAAAGAAAGTGTGCTACCCAGCTGGTATGTAGTAGCAACTTGCTATCAAGGGTCGTTACAAATGCATCTATAATTCATCATAAACTAAGATTTAATAAACTAAGATCTTAAAAATTGAACCCTTCATAGACTGTATCATGTCCCACGTACGTGGGTAGGAAGGTATGAGGTAGGAGGTTTTTTATACAAAGCCATGAATGCCAGATAGACATGAAGTTGGCTTTTAAAACAGTTATATCCAACAAATGAATTACTTTATAAAATGAAAAAGAAAGAATCAAACACCTGCTTTATATATGTACAATCCACAAAAAAGTGTGGAATATACTGTCTTAAAAAATTAAACAAAAAAACTAAAATTAGTGCATCAGAAAAGATGTGAGGTACTAGAGACCAAGAAGTAAATGTTGTCATAAGTATTGCACACAATGTAATTAGTAAATTTAAGAAAGGGAACCGTCCAAAAGACCATGTGCAGTATGGCAAGTGATTTTAGATGGTCATATCTTTCACCATGAGTACTTTTCAGGCATAAATACAGTGGTTTTTATTAAAACAATATGTTTTCTTTCAAGTGAAGTACCCATGATGATAAAAATTTCAGTTGAACAATTCAAGCAATTATGTACCAAAACTATGCTGAAAACAATGGATAGCACAAGTTTTCCCTATGGGAAAATAACATGGGATATGTGGTTTTTAACTTTGATGCATTTCAATACCCATCCCCTTTTCAGAAATTGTTAATAAAATGTAGAGGAGACTTTTGATATGTTTAAATTGAGAAAAACAAGATCCTCTTTTTAAAAAATAAGCCTAACATTTTTTTAAATGTGCCAAGGTGGGGCCCTAATCCATAACTTTTCAGAGAGTTTGATTGATATTTTACTATCACAGGGGCTTCACTTGAAAGAAAACATATTGTTTTAATGAAAACCACTGTATTTATAGCCAATAAGTACTTATGGTGAAAGATATGACTGTCTAAAATCACTTGCCATACTGCATATGGACCTTTAGAATTTTTGTTTATGAACTGATAAGAAAAATGTAATATTGTTTTTGCGGTTGCTAATTCTGTTATTTGTAATTGGTAATTTGTAATTTTTTCCATATATTTGTGGAAAAAAAGTTGCAGGTATCAATTACACTGGCGTAGCGTCATATACGCATAAAACGCCATGGGGTACTCTCAAAATTTAGAGAAAAGTTGTTTTTATTGAATTTGTCCACACTTCAAAAATACTGGATATTCTGAATACATGGCCAATTATTTACATTTTGTTAGTCCATATTGTCAGAATTTTGTATTTTAAATGCCCAAGAACACTTCAAATGCACAAGCTCATTTCAAATTTTCTTGGGGAGAACCCCCCTCCAAACCTCCCTCAAAGCTCATTCACTTCGCTCGCTCACTGCATACACTTACAAAATACCCACACTACGCCACTGAATTATATTGCCAGTTATTATGTTGCATTAATCACGATGATTGCATCAGTTGTTATGTTGCATTTATCATGAAGATTGCATCAATTATCATGCATGTTGCATTTGTCATGATGATTGCATCAGTTGTATGTTGCAGGTATCAACTATATTGCCAGTTATGTTGCATGTGTAATTAAGAATGTCAGATATTTTGTTGCACTGCGTTAATAAGTTGAAAATTTTTTCCAGGTATGGCTTCGAGACCAATGGCAAGAGTTCATTTTGTTATTGCCAGTGCAGGAGGTCTGCCACCTGAGGAAATCACATTTGCTGAATTAGCCAAACAGGCAGGTTACAAAACTGCTGCCTATGGAAAGTGGCATTTAGGACTCCACTCATATACCACTGATTTCAGCAGACATCCTAATAATCAAGGATTTGATGACTTCTATGGGATCGGATTAACCAACATGAAAGACTTTGGAGATGACCCTCGTAATAAAGTGATCCATTTCAACAACCCTAACTTTGACAGGAATATTGCAATCTCCCTGTTCATTGGAATCGTCACAAGTCTTCTTGTGAAAAAATACAGTACGGTTGCATTTGTGGTGCTGCTGACATTATCCCTAGCAGGACCTTTAACACTTAGGTTTGTTATTTTCAACTTCAAAATGCTTAATTCTGTCCTGTATAGAAACCTTGAAATTGTGGAGCAGCCAGTGAGACTTAATGGTGTTACCCAGCGCCTGGTTACAGAAGCAAAGGAGTTCTTAGCTGAACGCAATTCTGATGGGACACCATTTTTGTTGTATCTCCCATGGTTACATACCCATGATGCACTATTTTCTGCACCGGAATTCCGAGGTAAAAGTCGCCATGGGTTCTATGGAGATAACATTGAAGAACTGGACTGGGGAGTTGGAGAGATTCTGAATACTCTTGATCAATACAAAATGACAGATGACACATTTGTATACTTTACCTCAGACAATGGAGGACATGTGGAGAACCATGATCCAGATGGAAGGGTAGAGGGAGGATATAATGGAATATATAGAGGTATACTAGATGATCGATCAAGTATTTAATAATTGTAATGTCTATTTTGCAAAGCTTAAACTACTGTGAACCCATGGGCTTTGTTAAACCCAACAATAAGTAGAAATATAAGACGATGAATTCAATTTCTTCATACACTCTCTACTATCAGTTCAGCTGCAAACCAATTCATATATTAATTGAACTCATGAATTTTTTAATTTCGAATATACAGATTTTGAACACACTTAGAAATGTGCTTGAAAACTTGATTGGGCAGATTTTGCTTTGCATAAACCAACTAGACAACAGCAACGCCAGAGCGTAGCAAATCCCATCGAACAGCCATGGCTGGCATATTTACAAACAAAGTATATAGCAAAAATGGCAGCCATTTTTCAAATTGGCCACCTTCTACCAAAGTCATTAGACAGTGTACCATGCTTATAGTATTCACATACCAAATATGAACAAAATCGCTCCTCTACTATAGTAAAATATGTTAAAATGGTGGTCATTTTTCAAAAGGGCCACCTTCTACCAAAAGTGTCATTAGACAGTGTGCCATGCTTATAGTATTCACATACCAAATATGAACAAAATCGCTCCACTACTTTTCGAGTTATAGTAAAATACGTTAAAATGGTGGTCATTTTTCAAAAGGGCCACCTTCTACAAAAAGAGTCATTAGACAGTGTGCCATGCTTATAGTATTCACATACCAAATATGAACAAAATCGCTCCACTACTTTTCGAGTTATAGTAAAATACGTTAAAATGGTGGTCATTTTTCAAAAGGGCCACCTTCTACAAAAAGAGTCATTAGACAGTGTGCCCTGCTTATAGTATTCACATACCAAATATGAACAAAATCGCTCCACTACTTTTTGAGTTATAGTAAAATACGTTAAAACGATGGCCATTTTTCAAAATGGCCGCCTTCTACCAAAAGTGTCATTAGACAGTGTACCATGCTTATAGTTTTAACATACCAATTATGAACAAAATTGCTCCACTACTTTCTGAGTTATAGTAAAATATGTTAAAATGGCGGCCATTTTTCAAATTGGCCACCTACTACCAAAAGTTTCATTAGACAGTGTGCCATGCTTATAGTATTCACATACCAAATATGAACAAAATCGCTCCACTACTTTTTGAGTTACAGCAAAAATCGAAAAATAAGGAGTAAAGGCTGCCATTTTTCAAGGTGGCTGCCATGTGCTTCTTTAATATCTACATTTCTAGCTTTATTAATGTCCTATATAATTTTTTTTACATTTAAAACATATTGCTATTACAGTTTTACATATTGCACCCGTAAAATCAGCACTAAAATGGCCGCTGTTTTTAAATGACCAGCCATTTTTAGAATCGGCTTTTGAGCAGTACTTCTACCCCCATAGGGTATATGTGTACAAAATATGAACAAAATCGGGCCAACGGTATTTGAGCTATTGCCCAGATGGACTGACAGACGGACGTCCATCCATCCGTCCGGGCAATAACTCAAATACCGTTGGCCCAATTTTGTTCATATTTTGTACACATACCCTTTGGGGGTAGAAGTTCTGCTCGAAGGCTGATTTTCAAAATGGCTGCTCATTTAAAAATGGCAGCCATTTTAGTGCAGATTTTACAGTAATTTAGGTACAATATGTTACACTGTAATAGCCATATGTTTTAAATGTAAAAAAAATTATATAGGACATTAATAAAGCTAGAAATGTAGATATCTAAGAAGCACATGGCAGCCATCTTGAAAAATGGCTGCCTTTACTCGTTATTTTATGATTTTTGCTGTAACCCAAAAAAGTGGAGCGATTTTGTTCATATTTGGTATGTGAATACTATAAGCATGGCACACTGTCTAATGACACTTTTGGTAGAAGGCAGACATTTTTTGAAAAATGGTGGCCATTTTGAAAAATGGCCGCCATTTTAACGTATTTCACTGTAACTCGAAAAGCAGTGGAGCGATTTTGTTCATATTTGGTATGTGAATACTATAAGCATGGCACACTGTCTAATGACACTTTTGGTAGAAGGCGGCCATTTTTCAGAATGGTCACCATTTTAACGTATTTTACTATAACTCGAAAAGTAGTGGAGCGATTTTGTTCATATTTGGTATGTGAATACTATAAGCATGGCACACTGTCTAATGACACTTTTGGTAGAAGGTGGCCATTTTGAAAAATGGCTGCCATTTTTTCTATATACTTTGTAAATATGCCAGCCATCGCTGTTCGATGGGATTTGCTATGCTTTGGCGTTGCTGTTGTCTAGTTGATATATTATTAATAGGGAAAACAGTAGATTTTTATTCTGTGCTAATTCCAGGTGGAAAGATGCAGGGTGGAATGGATGGGGGTATTAGAGTACCAACCGCAGCAAGGTTTCCAGGCATCATACCCCCTGGAATAGAAATAGACCAACCTACTGCTCTGATGGACATGCTACCAACCCTAGCATCCCTAATGGGAATGGATGTGCCTAAAGACCGGCAGATAGATGGCAAGGACTTACTACCCCTCCTGAAGGGGGGGAAGTCTGACACCCCTGTACATGAGTTCCTAGTCCATTATTGTGGGCAAGTGATACATGCTGCCAGATATACTCCTGAACAAACTGGAGGTAATTCCTCAAATTGTAGTACATTTCTTTTTCTGTTTTAAGATTGGCATGTTTTGAACTTGTTTGCCTATGGTCTGGTATGCATGCAGATGTGCAAAAGGTTAGATCTGAAAGTCAGTTGAATGAGTAGACTAAGCTCAGAGTTGTACCATTCTTTCTATCTACCTTACATGGTATTACTTGAGAACCCATGGTTTAGTCACTTGAGTTATAGTTGAAATGTCTTAGTAAATTTGATGCATTGTTATTCCAGGGATAAACACTGTTTGGAAGGCCCATTTTGCTTTACCTAACTGGGTCCCTGGAACTGAAGGTTGTGCCTGGAGCTGTGCTTGTTATGATGTCACTTGGCAGAATCCACCAGTTTTATACAACATCGCACAGGACCCATCAGAGAGGCAACCTGTAGACCCAACAACTGATATATATAAACAAGTCATGGAGAAAATAAATAAGGGAGTTGAGAAACATAAACAATCAATAATACCACCTGAAACTAACCAATATAGTATCCCCAGAATGTGGTGGTTGCCATGGTTACAGCCATGTTGTAATTTTCCTTATTGCTCATGTACTGATCCAAAGTACTCCTAATATATATGGTGAACATATAGCTAGTTAGTTGTGGCTAAAGCACAAACAATGGAAAAACACAAAACAAAGTAAATGAAGGAACCATATTATTATTAAACTAATAGGACATAACAAATATTTTGTATGTATGTTTAAGCAAAAGGATTCGAGATTTAAGAAGTTTTCAAAGTGCATCGCCGCTTATATTAGTACAATCATTCATAAAAGTATTTAGAGCTTTAATGTCCTATTTAAGAACCCCTATTCTTACTATCGAAAATGGATTCTTCTAATACTCTCCTACATGAATCTACTTGTTGAGATCAAATTGAGTTTCAGTAAGGGTATATTAACTTTACATGGGGCTACAACTGACTTTAAACCTGCATCATACGATATATAGCCAATACACCCTTGCTGAAATACTCAATTTCCCAGAACTCAAGCTGATCAAGTCTCAACGAGATTCATGTGGGATAGTATTGGTAGAATCCATTTTCTATAGTAAGAATAGGGGTTCTTAAACAAGACATTGGGCTTGCTTTTTAGAACTTTTTGTTGGTTCTAGTTATAGAATACAGTACCTGTACTTTATTAGGTTTGATGCATATATCAGCATATGCATGGAGTTGAGTAGGAAGAAAGGATTTTATATTCAAAATACATAATTTCTATATAAACATTTGATTTTATATTTATTTTCATACTGCACTAATTATCCAAATGAACGAAGTTTAGTAGGGATAAAGTGAAGCCCTCCATCAGTCAGTCAGTACATCCGTCTAGAAAATAACTCGAATACTAGTGGATGGATTTTCATATTTGGTGGAAAGATGTATATTGGTGAATAGTTTTGCGCTAAAATCTTTTCAAGTATGGGGGTGGGAAAAACAGAAATTTTTGTTAATTTTAAGTTCTTTCTGAAGTACAGATTTATTATACTCAAATGAAATACAATTTAAAGAAGATTGCAAATATTTTATCATTTTTTGATTCGGGCCTTGTAAAATTCAAAATGGCTGTCTTATGTGGGATTTCGCAATAATTTTCTGATCTCTTCGAAATATGACTATACACTGTTGCTCATAAATACTGTACTCCGGGTATTGTTCGTGTGCGATTTAATTTCGCTTTGTTCGCGAATGTAGTAAAATCGCGAACATTTATCGTCGCGAAATTTGTCTTTTAAATCCCCGGGGATTTGGCACGGGACTTTTGATATGTTTTGTTCGTTGTAAAACGTTTCTTCCAGTATTGTTGGCCGATAATTCAAAATGGCCTTACATGTCCAACATTTTGAATTATTGGCTTATTAGGCCAACAAAGCTGAAAGGCAAGAACTGTTGACGACAATGATATTATACAAATTGAAGTTGAAAGAGCCATTCAAGAATATTCAAATAAATGCCCTAACGTGGGAAATACAAACATTGTTCGGATTCTGAACACCGGGCTAAAATAGCCAGATACGCACTGATTCATGGTTGAATCAACTCAACTTTCAACCGTGAAATTAAATAGCCGCAAAATTGCAAATTTGAAAAATCGTGAAATTTTATAGCGTCAAAATATTTGGTATCGATATGGCGAACTTTTTGAACACATGTTTCTCTTAAACCAGTCATCAAAAATTTCTGAAAATCTTACAAATTGTCAATTGAATGGCCATCGTTTGAATGGTAACAATATAATTTGAAATAGATATACATACTTTCATCTATATTGTTTTAAAAAGCACATCAAACACTTGTTTTGTTTTTGGTATCATGTTTCCAGAGTGAAATGAAACATCTTTCTGAACCTCATTGGAACAAAACGAGACAATACATAAACACAAAATGTTTAGGTCTCTCAATATTGTAATTGTACAAAGGAAATTTTGGTTCATTTTAAAAAAGTATCTTGTTAATGAAATAAAAGTTTTTTTTGATTTTTATCTATTTTGGGGGGATTTTTTAATTTTTTGAATACTTTTTTAAAATGAACCAAAAATTCCTTTGTATAACTTTAATATTGAGAGGTCCAAAAACATGTTGTATATGGTATTTTGTTCCAACAAGGTTCGGAAAGACGTTTTATTTCATTCTCAAGATTTGGTAGAAAGGAGCAAAAACAATTGCACTAAAAAAACAAAAAATGTTAACAAAAACAGTGATATCAAATATTTCTAAATAATTTTCACATTAAATTGTTGTCAACAGGTCAATCAGTCAACATTACATAAAATACCATGATTTTATACAGAATGTTTTCAATGATTGGTTTAAGAGAAAAACATTGTTGAATTCAGTTCTCCATATCGATACCTATCCTTTACCAGGAGTACAGTATAGAATATTAGATTTGGCAGCTCAGAATTCAAATTTTGGAGTAAGAGAACATTTATTTGGAGTCAGTTCAGTTATTTATTTTCTAGGCAAATCATAACCACATATTTCATCTACAAATCAACATTTTTTAGAGAAAAAATATGCACATTTAAATTGAGAAAATTACTGTTATTTAAACAGGGGTAAGCTAAGACTTTTTACATTTTCAGAACACCCCGATCCAAAACGTCGTGTAAAACAGATCAAACAAAATAAACATTTGGTCATGAAGATTGAAGTGTCCCCTATCCAATGATAGCACTTATATGTGTTATGTCCTCTTTGTGCTGCAATCAGAGCATCAGCCATACATGACCAGCATTAAATCAAACATCTGACCTTTCTAAGTGAAATAAGGCCCCATTCCTCAATCTGAGCAGTGCGTAACATGTCTAAATTTTGAGGTTGGGGTCCAAGTCATGAATCTCATTACCAAGGTCGTTCCGCATTTGCTCTGCATTAGCCTGATTGGCTGACTTTTGTGCCCATGGTAGCTGGTCCACATTACCTACCCTGATGTAATCCAACACGATGCCACTAGCATATGCAACAGCATGATCATTCTGCATCTGAATGTTGCCTCAAAATACTCTGTTTACATGTGGCACTTGGTGGAGGTCCAAAAGGTCAATTTACTCTGAAATTATGTTTGGGAATCACCAAGGGGGTGCAACTTCTGTAGTACTGCTCCAAACAACCTCTGTAATACAGAAAACATAAAAAATAGGGTCGCCTTCGTGGACTGCCACATCAGTAAATGTCCTTATTGTCTCTTTCCCCTGGTCTTCGACAGAAAGAACACAATTATCAACTTTGTGGAGGACATATCTTATTTTCACATGCTGTCATATGACACAAAAGATTAGGTCCAACGTTTTAGTGCTTTCCTGCCCATTGAAGGCACCTTTCTTTGTTCTGATCAGTCAGCTGTGGTTTCTTTAAAGGTCTCATGGCCTTGCATCCATTCTAAAGAAATCACTGGTTGTCTAAAGCTCTGGAATACAGGTTTTGAGGTGAGACAGCCATTCATCTCGTAAACAACTGGTTGACTTAAAGCGATTTTGATGCCATAAACGCAGCAGGTGGTGGTCTTTTCTTACATTATTCTCTCTAGGGCTACTATTGCTGTGACCAGGAGTTACATTCCAGTGCCTCTGGTACCACTGCAGAATTTTAGAGACTGTTCCTGACACACCCCTAGGGTCCTGGCAATGGCAGTTTGTTTCATGCCAGAGAGCGCCATCCCTATGACCTGCCATGCTCTTTTTCGCTTATTTTATGGGGCATGCCTTCTAAAAACTCGTCCAACTCTAAATCAAAGTTTTACAAGAACACAAATGTGTACAAAATGTCCCCACCAATGGGTGATCCCATGAAATGGTTATCCTGAAAATGAGTAGACAAGACTTTACCAACACACTTTGAGGACGGAAAATCCAAAATGGCCACCTTAAAATTTACCCAGACAGAATGCAGAATGCCAAAAATTTAGTGAATTCTAGATTTTCAAACTAAGAACCACCCTGAAAATTTTTAATTGATCCGTCACACAGTTAACTAGAAAACATGTAAACAAGACTTTACAGACAAGATTTTAGGATGGAAAATCCAAAATGGCTGCCTTGACATTTACCCAGAATGTCAAAAAACTAATCTGTTCCTAGATTTTCATACTAAAAATTCTAAGAATGATCCCTGAAAATATGACATTGATCTACCAAATGGTTCACCTGAAAACGCGTAGACAAGACTTTACAGAAAATCCAAAATGGCTGCCATGACATTTACACAGAATGCCAAAAAACTAATCAGATGTAGATTTTCACACTTTAAAGAATCATCCCTGAAAATTTGAAATTGATCTACCAAACGGTTCACCTAAAAACACGTAGACAAGACTTTACAGGCAAGATTTTAAGACAGAAAATCCAAAATGGCTGCCTTGACATTTATCCAGAATGCCAGAAAACTAATCAGTTCTACATTTTCATACTAAGAATCATCTCTGAAAATTTGAAATTGATCTACCAAACGGTTCACCTAAAAACGCGTAGACAAGACTTTACAGACAAGATTTTAGGACGGAAAATCCAAAATGGCTGCCTTGACATTTACCCAGAATGCCAAAAAACAAATCAGATCTAGATTTTCATACTAAGAATCATCTCTGAAAATTTGAAATTGATCTACCAAACGGTTCACCTGAAAACACATAGACAAGACTTTACAGAAAATCCAAAATGGCTGCCTTGACATTTACCCAGAATGCCAAAAAACAAATCAGATCTAGATTTTCATACTAAGAGTCATCCCTAAAAATTTGAAATTGATCTACAGAATGGTTCACCTGGAAATGCATAGACAAGACTTTACAGACAAGATTTTAGGACGGAAAATCCAAAATGGCTGCCTTGACATTTACCCAGAATGCCAAAAAACTAATCAGTTCTACATTTTCATACTAAGAATCATCTCTGAAAATTTGAAATTGATCTACCAAACGGTTCACCTAAAAACGCGTAGACAAGACTTTACAGACAAGATTTTAGGACGGAAAATCCAAAATGGCTGCCTTGACATTTACCCAGAATGCCAAAAAACAAATCAGATCTAGATTTTTATACTAAGAATCATCCCTGAAAATTTGAAATTGATCTACCAAACGGTTCACCTGAAAACACATAGACAAGACTTCACAGACAAGATTTTAGGACGGAAAAATCCAAAATGGCCGACAATAAAAAAGTGATTATGTGTTTTTGCTGATTTCTTCTTACAAAATTATCACATATAACTACTGTTAACAATAACATAGGCTTTTACAACAAAGTACATCTGAAATTATTTATAAAGCTACTAAATAGTTAAAGTATGAAAACTCAAAAACACCATTCAATATGATACAAAGAATTATCGGGCGCTAACTTTTCTTAAGACATTCAAAATGGCTGACATGACTGAGCTAACAGGTCCAAAACCTAATCAGATCTAGAATGAAGTGAGCTGAACAAGATTTTAAGTTTTAAAAGCAACTGTGAAGCCGTTTTTCTTAAAGTTTGCAGACAAGGATTTTAGCATTTGACTTCAAAATGGCCGACAGGAAGTAGGTATCGAATTAAAATTTTTTCATCCACATCTGTATGCACTCATAAGTTATCCCTGAAAATTTGAAGGTGATATCTGTAGCGGTTTTGGAGAAAACTCCCGGACGTACGGACAGACGGACGGACAGACGGACGGACGGACGGACGGACGGACGGACAGACAGACGGACGCGCCTAGGCCGACAATATGGCCCCACACTATGTCGTGGGGACATAATAAAATGTGCACAATGGTTACAACTAAGATTTTGACACCTCTTTCAATTTACCAATATCATGAGGTCATGGGGTCACCTGAGTGAATTAAGTTTAATCAACCATAAATGTTTTTAACTTTCATACTAATCAGTTTTATATGCAAAACTGGCGAGGGAATGAGAACACATTACAAAAATATCTTCAAAATGTTTTCATTTTGTAAAAATTCCATCAAACAGTTCGTATCTATAAAATATTCCATATCTATGAGCAACAGTGTATAATACTCAAATTGAAGAATTTTAGAGTAGGTCATGGCATTGTTTTTCTGATTTGTGCCTCAAATTCAAAATGGCTGCCTAGAGCAGGAATTCGCTATTACTTAGAGATCGCTTCAAAATATGGTTACATTATACTACATTAGATCTCAAATATTTATTGTCTAATATTGAAACTAATTATTGGTCACCCAAATGCTTAAATCGGTGGAAATTCTAGAATATCTCTATTGTATGTCTTATGTAATATCTGCCAATTTAGTCAAAGGTAGAGTAGATGGTTAATATTACATCCTGACATATACAGATTCATGAATATTATTGTTCGTCGGGATTTGCTACTTGGTCGAGTTGCCGATTTCTAGTCTATAAATGTACATGTACATGTACGCTATTATAATGCTTGTCACTGATATCTAATACTGAACAAATATTTCACTCTATCGGGGTGAATACCTGTACATCTTTCATTAGTGATATTCCATGAATAGTGGAATATTATCTTGTGAAAGTGTTTCTTAAAGTTTTATAGAGAAGGATTTTAGCATTTGACTTCAAAATGGCCGATAGGAAGTATGTATCAAGTCCAAATATTCTGTACCACTACTACTATATTCTGTACCACTACTACTCATTAGTTATCCCTGAAAATTTGAAGATGATATCTGTAGTGGTCTTGGAGAACTGTCGAACATACAGATGGACTGACAAACAGACATACAGACAGATGCACCTAGGCTGACAATATGGCCCCACACTATGTGGTTGGGACATAAAAACTTGCTTCTATAAGTTACTAGATAGTATCTCATTGTGTTTTAGAAATATGCCCCTTATCATAATTTCCACTTGTTTGCTAGATGAGCAATTTTTTAAGCATTGATTTTCTTGGAAAACTTTGTATCAGTCTGTTGATTGTTCATATTGCAGTCTGTTATGAATTCAAACATTTTTGAGTATTATAGAGATGAATGCCTTTCATGTCAGTTGATTTAAGTAGGTCAGTGGAACAGTGGAAGGAACATAAAGCACTCATATCTAACCAATGGGTCCTTCACCAACCATAAGAATTTAAGATCTCAAGAATATCAATTGTCAGCGTAGTTTTCCAAAAATAGAAGTGGGTGATTTTTCTTTATCAATATAAAAAGTTTATTTCATCCATATTACTTCAGCACATAAATATTACAAGTATTTGGCTCAGTTACTTGACAAATTCCAGCTGTTGAAATTCTGTTCGGTTTTACCTTTCCATTTCACAACTAGTTTGTCTTAAAATATAATATGAGGAACATGCAAATTGCAACACATTTTATTATCTTTAAAGAAGTAACTCACACTATTGGTAAGCCATATCAGGATATTTAGTAAAAACCAAGGGTAAACAAAATCTGGCAAACATCTATGCTCCTAATTCATAGTGTCCAGTAGTAATGTCATTTTTAAAAACTCTGAACCACCTCATACCTGGGAACATGAGTTACTACTGATGTTTTCCATATTATCCAAGAGTTAATGTCCATTTAATGTTCTTGGCATTGAAAAGGTTAATTCCTACATATCTTCATCTTCAGAGTCATCAGATTCTTCTAGCGAGTCCTGCAAGTTGCAACCATACAGACATTAATAAGTTATCAAATGAATGGTCAATATACAAATAACACATTAAATGGGCTTGGAGTTTGTCAAAGTGATTTACCAGCCAGAGTTATTATTGATGACAGTTTTCCAATAAACTGATATCAGCCAATGATCAGTTAAAATTTTGTGGATTTTTGACAACAAACCAGTGCTTATGCCATTGGTTTCTTCAGTGAAAAATCTTGGAAAAAATTAGTAATGACAGGAATTTGACCATACATGGCTTATTCTGAGAGAATTAATTTTAATTAGAGAATATCTGATGTGCCTACCTTGGCATATTTTTCTGCCTCTGCAAATACCTCTTTGGGAACTAACTCATGTTTACCATTGGATACTGGAAAAATAACAAATGCATAATAACATGCTTGGTACAAACATTTTATTGTGTCATTATAATTTGAAGATATCATCATTTGAAAAGTTTGTGATGCTATAAATTTGGAAAAATTGTGGGTCAGATGATGGAACAAGACACAATGATAAATATCTCACTTTGAAGAGCAAAATGGTCATTTGCATGTGCAAACTAGACAACTTCAACGCCAAAGCATAAAAAAAAAAAATTGTATAGCAAAAATGTCATGCTTTCAAAATGGCCGCCTACTCCCACAAGTGTCATTAGACAGTGTGCCATGCTTATAGTATTCACATATTAAATATGAACCAAATTGCTCCACTACTTTTTGAGTTATAGTAAAAAAAACGTAAAATAACACACATTAAAATTGTGACTATTTCTCAAACCAAACTTTGACGAAAACAGCTTCCCATGCTTATTAATTTCAAATACCAAATATGAACAAAACCACTCTACTACTTTTCAAGTTACAGCAAAAATTCTTAAAATAGCGTGTAAAGGCTACCATTTTTCAAGATGGCTGCCATGTGGTTCTTAATATCTATAGTCCCTGATCTGGTCCCTCTGAAAACAAGTTTTGTTGTCCGGTACTTTCCCACAAAAAATGATTGTACCGTTTGCTAGAACAGACTTTCCTCATAAAGAAAACACCTCTTATATTGATACAAACAGGGGCAAAAGGCACTAAAATGGGGTTAGACAAGGTGGCATTCTGAAGTCTCACTTTCTTGTCATCACGATTCCAGGAAAACCACCTGATAGATTTACTTCAAATTTTCACACATGTTACATGGTAAGAAGTTCTAGAGCTGATTAACTTTCCGGTGGCCATCTTGCATTCTGGTGACCATCTTGGAATTTTTTTAGATAAATATTGTCATTGCAATTCCTGAAAAAAACACTTAATTGATGTACTTCAAATGTTCCTCAAAAAATAGATTGAATGTATATTGATAGAAACAGGGGCAAAAAGCACCAAAATGGGGTTAGACAAGGTGGCATTCTGAAGTCTCACTTTTTTGTAATCACGATTCAAGGAAAACCACCAGATGGATTTACTTCAAATTTTCACACATGTTACATGATAAGAAGTTCTAGAGCTGATTAACTTTCTGGTGGCCATATTGCATTCTGGTGGCCATCTTGGAATTTTTTTAGATAAATATTGTCATCGTGATTCCAGAAAAACCACTTAACAGATGTACTTCAAATGTTCACACATGTTATATGGTAAAAAGTCCTAGACCTCACTATTTTTTTCGATGCCCATCTTGCATTCTGGCGGCCATCTTGGAAGTCTTTGGATAAATCTTGTCATTGTGATTCCAGAAAAACCACTTTACTGATTTTCTTGAAATTGTTACACATGTTAGGTTACATGCTACCTTTTATATTGATATAAACAGGGGAAAAAGGCACTAAAATTGGATTAGACAAGGTGGCATATTGAAGTCTCACTTTCTTGTCATCACGATTCCAGGAAAACCACTGTATGGATTTACTTCAAATTTTCAGACATATTACATTGTAAGAAGTTCTAGAGGTATATTAACTTTTCAGCGGCCATCTTGCATTCTGGTGGCCATCTTGAAAATCTTATCGCGATTCCAGGAAAACCACTGGACAGGTTTACTTCAAATTTTCACACATGTTACGTGGTAAGAAGTACTAGAGCTCTTTCATTTTCTGGAGGCCACCTTGTATTCTGGCAGCCATCTTGGACATTTTAAGATAAATCTTGTCATCACGATTTCAGGAAAACAAAACGGATTCACTTCACACATTTTCACACATGTTACATGGTAAGAAGTTCTAGAGCTGATTAACTTTTTGGCAGCCATCTTGCTTTCTGGTGGCCATCTAGGAAGTTTCACATAAATATTGTCAGCGTGATTCCAGGAAATCCAATTAACGGATTGTCTTCAAATTTTTACACTTTACATGGTAAGATGTTCTTCTTTTTAGATGAATCTTGTCATCGTGATTCCAGTAAAACAACCTAACAGATTTTTTTCAAATCTTAACACATATTAATACTAAGAAGTTCTAGAGCTAATTAACTTTTTGGCAGCCATGTTGCATTCTGGTGGCCATCTTGGAAGTTTCACATAAATACTGTCATCGTGATTCCAGGAAAACCAATTAACGGATTGTCTTCAATTTTTTACACTTTATATGGTAAGATGTTCTTCAACTGATTAACTTTTCGGTGGCCATCTTGCTTTCTAGGCCATCAAATCCACACTGCTATGTTTACGATCTTCTTCACCATGTGCCTTGTTTAGTCTGTTTTTGTACTTTATACCACATAAATGCATTTTGTGTTCGTACTTTCGCACAAAAATGATTGTATTGTTTGATAGAACAGACTTCCCTCATAAAGAAAACAGTTTTTATATTGATATAAACAGGGGCAAAAGGCACTAAAATGGGGCTACACAAGTTGCATTCTGAAGACAACATTTCATTGTTTCTTTATTTTATACCACATAAGTGCATATTTCGTGTATGGTATCAAATGAGTTTTAAAACCTTGATAATAATATTGATAGAAACGGGCGAAAGGCACTAAAGTGAGGTTACACAAGGTGGTATTCTATAGACAATGTTTACTATGCTTCTGTAATAATTTGAAATAAATGCATATTTCGTGGATGATATAATCTATTAATAGAAACATGGGCAACAGTCGCTTCAATGGGGTAACACAAGGTGATATTCTAAAATATAACTTTTTACTCTGTTTCTGTACTTTATACCACACAAATGCATTTTGTGTTTGACATCAATCTATTTTTAGAATAGATAACTACCTTTCATCAATAATAAAAAAAAAGATTATTGAAAACATCAAACATTTCTTTGAAATCCAACAATGTATAGAGATTTTTTAGAGTGAAATGTCTGCTTAATTGGCATTGATCAAAGTATAATACGAAATTGAAGCTCTTAAGAGAAAAAATATATGTGTGTGGACTATATGTATGGACAACTTTTCACTGTGCACCATGTCACTAGACCTTCATAAATTCTAAAAATCAATTGATGTCATACACAAAATGCATCTATTATGTGGTATAAAGTACAAACACAGAGTAAACAAGTCACATGGTGAACAATATTGTACCTATAACATAGCAGTGTGGACTTGATGACCCAGAGAGCAAGGTGGCCACTGAAAAGTTCACCAGTTATACAACTTCTTACCATGTAACATGTGTAAAAATTTCAAGAAAATCAGGAAAGTGGTTTTCCTGGAATCATGATGACAAGATTTATCTAACAAGACACACAGTGATAAATATCGCACTTTGAAGAGCAAACTGGCCACCATGCAATTTACCCAGCATGGCCAAAACCTAATCAGACCTTGGCACTAGTCTGCTCTTGCATGTGTAAACATTTCAAGTTGACAAGGTTACCGATTTTCCTGCAATTTTGATGACAAGAATTTATTTGTAGTCTTGAACTTTGGGAAAATTTAGCATTGTTTGTGACCTAATTTGATGACCTTCGACCTTGAAAATTTCACTTTTTCAGACCTCAGTAGGTGTTTTGTAATTAAGCTGACCTAAATTTAAATCCAAAATATCAATTTAGAAAATCAAATTTTTGACCTTTTCAAGGTCACTGAAGGTGAACGAAAGGTCAAATCTGAAATCTAAGGTCAGATTTGAACTTCTGAGAACTTGTAGATGTTTTTAAAAAAAATTTGGTCAATTTGGAGCAAGTTGAAAAATTCAAAATGGCCGCCAAATTGAAAAATTCAAAATGGCCACCATGTAATTCAGCCAGCATACCCAAAACCTAATCAGATCTTGGCAATAGTCTGCTCTTGCATCTGTAAAAATTTCAAGTTGAACGGATAAGTGGTTTTCCTGGAATTTTGATGACAAGATTTGTTGAAAAATTCAAAATGGCCGCCACGTAGTTTACCCAGCATGCCCTTAACCTAATCAGATCTTGGTACTAGTCTGCTCTTGCATCTGTTAAAATTTCAAGTTGAACAGGTAAGCAGTTATCCTGGAAATTTGATGACAAGATTTGGTTTGCCCGCCCGCACGCCCGCCTGCCCAACAGCACAAGACGACGACAATATAGCACTTTTTCAAAGTGCAATAAAAACGTTCAAGATGGCTGCTAGAATGCAAGGTGGCCACCGAAAAGTTGATCAGCTGTAGAACCTCTTACCATGTAAAATGTGTAAACATTTGAAGTAAATCTGTTCAGTGGCTTTTCTGGAATCACAATGACAAGATTTATCTAGAAACTTCCAAGATGGCCGCCAGAATGCAAGATGGCTACCGGAAAGTTAATCAGCTCTATAACTTCTACCATGTAACATGTGAGAAAATTTTAAATAAAAGTGTTGAGTGGTTTTCCTTGAATCATGATGACAAAGGAGATTTTGGTTGATTTTAAAAAAGTATCTTGTTAATGAAATAAAAGGTTTATCTGATTTTTATCTACTTTGGGGAGATTTTGTTTTAATTTTTCGAATACTTTTTTAAAATCAACCAAAAATTCCTTTGTATAACTATAATATTGAGAGGTCTAAAAGCATGTTGTTATATAAAATATTTCTAAATACTTTTCGCATTAAATTGTTGTCAATCAGTCAACATTACATAAAATACCGTGGTTTTTTACAGAATGTTTTTAATGATTGGTTTAAGAGAAAAACATTGTTGAATTCAGTTCTCCATATCGAACCACTCCTTTGAATCCAAAAGTTTTTTAAGATTTGAATTCCTGAGAACTTGTAGATGATTTTTAAAAAAATTGGTTAATTTGAAGCAACTTGAATGGATAAATGGTTTTCACAGAATTTTGATGACAAGATTTATGGAAAAATTCAAAGTTATTTACAGGGCATGCCCTAAACCTTGACACGTCTACCTTTTCATCTGTAAAAATTTCAAGTTGCAAAGGTTAAGGACCCGTTTAATATTTCAATGTCAGTCATTATATTGGAATGTAATCAAAACAGAATCCCATGTACTAATTTGTTGGTGCATTATACAGGGATTCCCTAAAGTATGCCCCCCCCCCCCCCTAGGCAGACATATACCAATGTCCTCATAGTATGTGTCATATTTAGCCATTATGTCCCTATCATTGAATATATGCCTGAGGTCGGACGTCAATATAGCCTGAGCTTGCGAAGGTTATATTGACGACGGACCGAAGGCATATATTCAATGATACGGACATAATTGTTGTATTACATACCTAAAGTACATTTACATAACATTTCATAAAGATAATATGTTGAAATACATGAAAAAAGACCAAAATTTTACACAATTCCAGTCGAAATCACTTTGTTTACATGTTATGACGTCACAAAGTTGTCATGGTAAAAAAGTTTGGCGGCTATACAGGAATATATAGCCGACCTTCAGCTCCATTGACTTCCATACAAATGCTTCGCTAGGTATGTAATACATCATTTTAAAGCTCGTCCAAAGTTACATTGATTTGCCAAGTATCACGGTTCAACTCACAAATGGAAAAAAAGTTACAGGCATTACAAAAATTAGTGTTTGGTTAAAATTAAAGTTCAGTTTTACAACAAACCAGAACAACGGCAACGCCAAAGCGTAGTGAATCCCATCGAACAGAAATGGCTGGCATTTTACAAACGAAATTTATAGCAAATATCATAAAACAACACACCAGAAAGGCCACCATTTTCAAAATGGTTAGCCAAGTTGTCATCAGAAGAAATAATATGCTTTTAGTAGCCATCTATAAAATTTTTGAAAAATCGCACACATGTACTTGTGAAATAAGTAAAAAATGTAAAAATGACAGCCATTTTTTATAATGGCTGCCTACTATCCAAGTGTCATGAGACAGTGTGCAAGGCTCGTGAGTATTCACATATCAAATATGAAAAAATCGCTTCACTACTTTTCAAGTTATAGTAAAAACGTAAAAATGGTGGTCATTTTTCAAAATGGCCGCCTACTACCCAAAGTGTCATTAGACAATGTGCCATGCTTATAGTATTCACATATAAAATATGAAACATACCAAATATGAACAAAATCGCTGAACTACTTTTCGAGTTATAGTAAAATACGTTAAAATGGCAGCCATTTTTCAAAATGGCCACCTTCTACCAAAAGTGTCATTAGACAATGTGACATGCTTATAGTATTCACATACCAAATATGAACAAAATTGCTTCCCTACTTTTCGAGTTATAGTAAAATACGTTAAAATGGCGGCCATTTTGAAAAATGGCCGCCTTCTACCAAAAGTGTCATAGGACAGTGTGCCATGCTTATAGTATTCACATACCAAATATGAACAAAATCGCTCCACTACTTTTCGAGTTATAGTAAAATATGTTAAAATGGCAGCCATTTTTCAAATTTTTTTTCAAAATGGCCGCCTTCTACCAAAAGTGTCACAGGACAGTGTGCCATGCTTTTAGTATTCACATACCAAATATGAACAAAATCGCTCCACTACTTTTTGAGTTACAGCAAAAATCGTAAAATAACGAGTAAAGGCCGCCATTTTTCAAGATGGCTGCCATGTGCTTTTTTTAATATCTACATTTGTAGCTTTATTAATGTCCTTTATAATTTTTTTACACTTAAAACATATTGCTATTACAGTTTTACATATTGTACCTAAATTACTGTAAAATCGGCACTAAAATGGCCGCCATTTTGAAATGAGCGGCAATTTTGAAAATCGGCTTTCGAGCAGAACTTCTACCCCCATAGGGTATATGTGTACAAAATATGAACAAAATCGGGCCAACGGTATTTGAGTTATTGCCCGGACGGACGGACAGACGGACGGACGTACGTACGGACGGACGGACGGAGGCGTTCCCTATATCCCTCCGAACTTCGTTCGATGGGATAATTAATAGTCAGTGTGTCTTCCTAGGTCATATTGACAGTCGAAATTCTATCAGATATGTCCTTAAAAGCACGTGAAATATAGATGTGTGCTATATTGATGGAATTCATGACTGAAATCAGGAAGACAAATATGTGATATTCTTTCAGAATTATTTATAATAACTATTTACAAAAATGTTCGCGAGACACAAATCCATTTTGGTAAGGTTTGTTTTAAAGTCGGAAAACCAATAAGACAATACAAACCCAGATAAAACCTAGACATGTAATGATTTATGGTCATGTAAACAAGTATAGTACATATAATCCCCATATAAAACCAAAGGAAGTTGTATTAAGTCCTTTTTGGGCCTTTATGGGGTTTTGCCCCCCCCCCCCATCCTGTAAGTGGGGAAGGGCAAAAAGCTCTGTTGGGCCCATAAAGGACTTGATACAACTTCCTGTGAATAAAACACTGGCCTACGTGACATGTAATAACATGTTCGAACTGAAATAAAGAAAATTTTCAACAGAGCATTTGCTTCCGTGTTCTAAGTATATGCCCGTCTACCTGCTAATAAGGCAATGTATCTTCAAATAAAACCTTAGCCAAGTAGATTAGAGTCTCTGGAACAGTTTTGTAAATAGTGTTCACAAACAATTTTGTTTGTGAATCTCAAATTTTGTCTTCCCCATTTCAGTCATGAATTACATCATTTTCACATGCAAACTTCGGGTTGACGTTGTCATTCCCGGACACCCAAACGTGTCAGGAACACAGGGATACTTGAATGATCTTCAATGGACATCAGGTTGCAGAGAAATAGTAACTTTACTGAGTGGCTTCACGAAAAATTAAAAAGGCTATAAGCCTCTTTAAAACTTATAGAGAAAATGTGCTTTTCATTCTAATGTTTTTTTAAAAAAGGATAATTTTGCTCACCTTCTCCTACCCAGCTCAGCTCCAGCTCAAAGTTCTTATCCTTTACTTCATCATGGACAACATAGATACTGAAATAGAGAGATACTTGTATCACTGTTCCCCACTTGGTTATATAGATTTTACGGCTTTATAACAAAATGGATATATTTCCGCTGACAAAAAATTGAAGATTTTTTATTCTCATTTTCTCCAACAAAGAAGTCCACTTGCACCCCATTACTTTACCAATGTGTTAAATGAAAGCTCAAGTTACTGGCAAGCTAATCAGTCACAACCATAGGTACCCAGCAGCTGTGATAATCGAGTGAGAATTCCCTCACTTCAGCAACCAGGATGTTATCTGGTGAATTTCATAATGTAATCAAGACGTTCAAGTTGGGTCATAGACACGTTATATTTTCAAACTGACAAATTCGAATGAACAAAAACAGAGAGAATATTAGGTGTCATAAAACCACCAGAAGGATATTAACTACGTAAAAGGGACTTGCTCTTTTATTTTACATGGTGCAAAAGGGATGGTGTTATTGTTATTTACTGTCCCTACCTTGACAGATTTCTATCTACCCACCACACCATATAGTGTCGATATTTTCACTTTTTCAATAATCATCGCCGTTTGAGGTATCAAAATGATAGGAAATTTTCTCAGGATTCCCTATCTGCAACCAGAATATATAGTTGACCTACAGTTAAGATTCTATGGTGTTTTAAAATCTCCAAAAATTGATATGATTATATCCCCGTGTTAAGTCAATGGTGCCGAAGAAAAATATCGTTTGATATAATCATACAAAAAATATCCATATAGGGATTCAAATTGACATTCAAACAGGAGTTGTGAGTCTCAATATGAGAGCGTATTGGTATTGGTACTGAGTATCAAACACATTTGATGCAGAGATATAATCATCTTTCGTGATGTTTATATTATAACAGAAATGAGAATTCTCTCCTTGGTACAGAGAAAGATCTAGAATGACATATGATGGGTGTAGTATTTTTAGTGCAACTGAATATGTATTTTTAAATGCTTAAATATACATTGTTTATTAACCATGTAAATATAATTAGATGTTGTAATTTACTTTTATCTGATGTGTATCGACAGTTCCTGGAGAAACATTTATTTCTGATTACAGCAATATATAGATTATATTTACACCCCATTCTCCCTCCTCATTGTAGCCATTAAAGTGATCATTGTACACATTCCTTTGTTCACGTTGTAATTTTAAACATTAAGATTAGCTTAAGCTTTTTGAAAATGTTATACAAACTTGGAAAATGTTATCGATCATTGAGATATAGTTCAACATTGAGATTAGCTTTTAGCCTATTTAAAATGACCATGAGTTTTCATAGGAATATGTTTAAACTAATATAGTTGATGAGTGGTCACACAACCGCAGTTTAAAAAGGAGGAACTATTTTGAGATACAGATAAAAAAATATAATAGTGCTTGAGATGAAATAAAGATTATGCAAAATGTAGCTTATACCAATTGAAAGGAAGATGACATAAACATAAAAGTTGTGTTGTGTTTACTATTATGGACTGAAGCCATGAACATTATTTTATTAACGTTTAATCCCCGTTAAATGTTACAATATGAATAACCATATTGAGATATTGGGATTTCCCAATATGAGATCATATTGGTATACAGTATTGGTTTTGAGTATTGAACTCATCTGATGCAGAGATATAATCATCCTTTGTATTCTTTATATGAATAGCCATATTGGGATATTGAGTTCCCAATATGAGATCGTTTTGGTATTGGTATTGAGTATTGAACTCATCTGATGCAGAGATATAATCATCCTTTGTATTCTTTATATGAATAACCATATTGGGATATTGAGTTCCCAATATGAGATCGTATTGGTATTGAGATTCAAACAGATTTGATGCAGAGATTTTTTATATGAATAACCATATTGGGATATCGAGATTACCCAATATGAGATCGTATTGGTATTGGTATTGAGATTCAAACAGATTTGATCCAGAGATACAATCATCCTTCGTATTCTTTATATGAATAACCATATTGGGGTATTGAGAGTTCCCAATTTGAGATCGTTTTGGTATTGGTATTGAGATTCAAACAGATTTGATGCAGAGATACAATCATCCTTCGTATTCTTTAGATGAATAACCATATTGGGGTATTGAGATTTCCCAATATGAGATCGTATTGGTATTGGTATTGAGATTCAAACAGATTTGATGCAGAGATTATTTGTATGAATAACCATATTGGGATATCGAGATTACCCAATATGAGATCATATTGGTATTGGTATTGAGATTCAAACAGATTTGATCCAGAGATACAATCATCCTTCGTATTCTTTATATGAATAACCATATTGCGGTATTGAGAGTTCCCAATTTGAGATCGTTTTGGTATTGGTATTGAGATTCGAACAGATTTGATGCAGAGATACAATCATCCTTCGTATTCTTTAGATGAATAACCATATTGGGGTATTGAGATTTCCCAATATGAGATTGTATTGGTATTGATATTGAGATTTGAACAGATTTGATGCAGAGATATAATCATCCTTTGTATTCTTTATATGAATAACCATATTGGGATATTGAGGTCCCAATATGAGATCGTATTGGTATTGAGATTCAAACAGATTTGATGCAGAGATTTTTTATATGAATAACCATATTTAAGGGATATCGAGATTACCCAATATGAGATCGTATTGGTATTGGTATTGGTATTGAGATTCAAACAGATTTGATCCAGAGATACAATCATCCTTCGTATTCTTTATATGAATAACCATATTGGGGTATTGAGAGTTCCCAATTTGAGATCGTTTTGGTATTGGTATTGAGATTCGAACAGATTTGATGCAGAGATACAATCATCCTTCGTATTCTTTAGATGAATAACCATATTGGGGTATTGAGATTTCCCAATATGAGATTGTATTGGTATTGGTATTGAGATTTGAACAGATTTGATGCAGAGATATAATCATCCTTCGTATTCTTTATATGAATAACCATATTGGGATATTGAGAGTTCCCGATATGAGATCTTATTGTATGATCTGTACAATGAAGCCTTCTGATTGGTCAGTTCCGTTGCTGTACCAATCTGTGTTGCTACTGAGATTGTTCCCATTGATCATCTCCGTCGCAATACAGAAAATATTGGTACGGAGGGAACAATCTCAGTAGCAATACAGAGGAGCACAGGATAAAAACGTTATTGAATGATTTGAAGTGCAATACAGGATATATTCTGTCTCGATATTCTGTATTGACACTCGACTTCGTCTCGTTCCAATACGGCATTTCTCGAGCAGAATATATCCTGTATTGCACTTCAAATCATTCAATAACTTATAGTATTGGTATTGCAGGCCTGTAGCCAGGATTTTCCAAGGGGGGTTCAGTTTTCAAAAATTTCCAGGGGGGTTCATATTTGACAATTTTGGCCCAAATGTGGCTAAAATCACTTGAGAAGTGCTCAAAATGGTGAACAAGGCACAGACGTGAACAATATCGTACCTAAAACACAGCATTGTGGTCTTGTTGACCAAGAAAGCAAAATGGCAGCAGAAAAGTTAATCAGCTCTAGAACTTATCACTGTGTAACATTTGAACGGTTTGGCTGGAAACCTGTAGACAAGTCTTCAAAGTGAAGATTTTAGGACGGAAAATCCAAAATGGCCATCTTAAAATTTACCCAGAATGCCCAAAAACCAATCAGTTCTTGACGTTGATATGTAGAAACATCCCTGAAAATTTCAGATGAATCCCTCATATGGTTTGGCTGAAAATCTGTAGACAAGTCTTGAAAGTAAAGATTTTAGGACAGAAAATCCAAAATGGCCACCTTAAAATTTAACCAGAATGCCCAAAAACTAATCAGTTCTTGACGTTGATATGTAGAAACATCCCTGAAAATTTCAGTTGAATCCCTCAAAAGGTTTGGCTGGAAACCTGTAGACAAGTCTTGAAAGTAAAGATTTTAGGACGGAAAATCCAAAATGGCCACCTTAAAATTTACCCAGAATGCCCAAAAACTAATCAGTTGTTAAAGTTGATATGTAGAAACATCCCTGAAAATTTCAGATGAATCCCTCATATGGTTTGGCTGAAAACCTGTAAACAAGTCTTGAAAGTGAAGATTTTAGGACAGAAAATCCAAAATGACCACCTTAAAATTTACCCAGAATGCCCAAAAACTATTCAGTTCTTGATGTTGATATGTAGAAACATCCCTGAAAATTTCAGATGAATCCCTCAAATGGTTTGGCTGGAAACCTGTAGACAAGTCTTGAAAGTGAAGATTTTAGGACGGAAAATCCAAAATGGCCACCTTAAGATTTACCCAGAATGCCCAAAAACTAATCAGTTCTTGACGTTGATATGTAGAAACATCCCTGAAAATTTCAGGTGAATCCCTCAAATGGTTTGGCTGGAAACCTGTAGACAAGTCTTGAAAGTGAAGATTTTAGGACGGAAAATCCAAAATGGCCACCTTAAGATTTACCCAGAATGCCCAAAAACTTATCAGTTCTTGACGTTGATATGTAGAAACATCCCTGAAAATTTCAGATGAATCCCTCAAATGGCTTGGCTGGAAACCTGTAGACAAGCTGAAAAGTGAGACACCGCCCGCCCGCCAAGCTGACTACAATATCGTACCTTTTGTTAGGTACAATAAAAACTGCATGATTTTGAGAGAATTTTTGGCCATGGATGGGGAGAGTCGCCGAACCCTGCGAACCCCCCCCCCCCTGGCTACGGGCCTGGTATTGAGTACTGAACACATCTGATGCAGAGATATAATCATCCTTCACTATGTTTATATGAATAACCTTATTGGGATATTGAGATCATATTATTGGTATTGGTATTGAAATTCGTACAGATGCCGAGATATAACCAGAACAACGGCAACGCCAAAGCGTAGCGAATCCCATCGAACAGAAATGGCTGGCATTTTTACATTTGAAATATATGGCAAATATCATAAAAGAACACCCATAAGAAAGGCCACCATTTTAAAATGGTTGATCACTT